TTATTGCTCCCGTACAAACCCCTGCCCTCCCCCCTGTAAACATGGTGCTGTGAGATCGCGGGTGGAGAAGGCTTCCGCTGGTGGCTGGATGGTCAAGGTGGCCCCTGGCTCTTCTCTCGGCGCAACCCCTCAGTGCTCGGCAGTCATGGTGGGGCGCTGGAGGGGTGAGCGACGGCTCAGCCTCCCCTGCCTGGGGGCTGGTAGCTTCTCGGTCTCAGCTTCATTTCCGTGAAGGGCACGGAGAAATCGAAGCCCTTCCAGTAGTACCAGCTCACTCCCTGGGAAGGGGGTTGTTGGGAGAGAGTCAGTGTCTGATATCCAGCTCTCACCTGCTCTCCCCTCTGGGGAGATGTTTCCAGAAATCAGCCATTGTGTCTCCCCTTTTCCTTCTTAAACCCTCAACTGCAAAAGACTGAAGCAGAATCCTGACCCATCCCTTTACATCCAATAAATCATCTCCTCCTCAAGATAACCTGGTGAGATTGGCATTATTGTTCCATTTCACAGGCAAGGGCCCTGAAGCGCTAAGCCATTCAATAACATCACAGTGTGTGTCACAGACACCCAGGCAGGTGGAGCCCCAAGCACCCCCAGCTTGGTGTGGCCCCCCAGACCTCTCACCTGGTGGTCCACTGTGCTCCCATAGAGCCCGTTGAGGTTGGCATAGTGGCAGTTCCTGTACCACCAGGCCCCTCGGTAAGAGACAGCACAGGAGATGAGCAAGTTGTTGGGGTCTCGGTCCCGGGCAGAGAAGACACTGCCGCTGTGATAGCTCATGGAGTCCCCTGGCAGGGCGTGGAAGGAGCAGTGAGGTCCTTTTCTCTTCTCTCCCGGCTCTCCCTGCCTGCCCCCCAGGCTGAGCCCTCACCTGCCGTGCCATGGTAGCCTTCCAGGTGGAGGCGGTAGTACTCATCGGCCGAGTCTACTTGGAAGGAGTCGTACTGGGCAAACACGGCCTCGTCCCCAGCCCGCAGATCCACGCGCAAGGAGTAGTCGCCGGCTTTGGTCAGGCTGTGCAGGGCCTCATTGCCTGTGGGTGGGGAGTTTGTGCTCATGGGGGAGTGTGAGTCCACAGGGCCCCAAGCCCTTCCCGGGTCCCTCAATCCCTGTGAGGCACTCACCCAGCCAGAACTCCCCAGAGATGTTCCCAAAACCATGGGCGTAGTCCTCCCAGTCCCTCCAGAAGTCCGTTTTTCCATCCATGCGGCGCTGGAATACCTGGGAGGTAGGTGGAGGTACCGTCAGCCTGTGACTTCTGGCCTGGCAACCCCTCCTGGTACAGACCCCGCGGGCTTCTGAACGCCACCCACCAGCCAGCCACCCCCATCGGTCTCCATGTCACAAAACACGTTCAGGGGTCGCTCGCGGTTGCCATTGAGGAAGATGGTGGTGGTCCTTGATGTGCTGACCCCATTCTGCATCTCCTCCCCACAGTCCCGGGGAAAGGGGATCCGCAGTCCACCTGGGGAGAGGAGTGAGGGGCCAGTTCTTTATTCAGATCCTAGACCCCTGCTACCCAGTCATCCCTGAGTCTCAGGTCCCAGGGCCCGAGTACCAGTGATGAAGGAGGTGGACACGGGGGGAGTGAAGCTGTCGCCCCACATGGCCCGGAGCCATGTGCTGTAGGGGGTGGAGGGAAAGAGGCCGCGGAGCTGGTGAGAGGTGACCCCTCCTGGGAGCAGGATCTCCTACAGAACAGACAAGAGGCCGTCAGGGGAGAGGGAGGTGGTGCCCACCCCCAGAAGCAGAGGCAGCCTCTCTGGACTGAAACCCAGGGAGGGAGCTGGCCTGAGGAGTAGGGCTTGGGGCACCTGGGTCTGTCCCCCTGGGGTGTTGAAGCTGAGCAGGTAACCAGTTGGGGAGACTTCTGGTGCCGTCCAAGTGAGCAGGGCTGTACGGGGTGTCACTTCCTTGGCCTCCAAGTCCTGGGGCGCCTCCAACCCTGAGAGCAGGAGGAAGAGAAGGTGAAGATGAGGCCCTTCCTGGCTCTCTTGCTCCTTCCCCCCCTTCCCATGCTCCTCATGGACCACACCTGTGGTGAAGGTGATGCTGGCTGGGGAGGTGAAGTTGGGGCCCCGAAGGCCACGCAAGGTTGCCGTGTAGTTGGTGTGGGTCACCAGGCCCTGCAGGGGGTAGTCCATGGCACTGCCAGGGGCTGAGGCCTGGAGGGAAGGGGCTGGGAGGGGGCAGGTATCAGGGCTGCCCTGCTGGAGCCCAGCCTGCCCTCCATTCCCCCTCCCTGAGTGAGTGCCCCCCAGAGGCCTCAACCAGCCTCACTCACCCCCTGGGGCTGTGACCTTGACGTCATAGGTATCCACCGGGGTCTGAGGGGGCTTCCAGTGCAGCAGGGCGGATTCATCAGTCAGGTTCAGTGCCCGCAGCTGGGTGGGGCCATCAGGAACTGGGAGAAGGGCGGAGGGGGGGCGGCGGTGCTCAGAGCTGGTCCCATCTGTGTTCCCCACCCGTCAGCTTCCCAAACTCCGCTGCACCTTTTGTCTGCCATTGGAGCCTCCAACACCCCCCGTTCCCCTCCCCTTCCCCATTCACTCTCAGCTCCTACCGGTGCCCTATTTTCTCCCCCTACTTCCTGCCCGGGGTCCCAGTCCTGCTCACCTGTGGTCAGGAAGCCTGTGAGAGGCTCACTCTCCTCAAAGCCACGGACGGAGACCACAGTCACCTCGTACTGAGCGCCTGGGATCAGCCCCTCGAGTTTCTGGGTCCGGCCATCCACCTGCACACTCTGTGGCTCCCCTGGAAACACACAGTGGGCTGGCAGGGGGGCGGCCGGGGAGGCAAGGAGCAACAACGGGGCGGGCAGGGTGCAGGTGGAAAAGAGCAAAGACACAGGCCGAAGGGTATTACCTCCATCTGCCAGTTGGTAGGAAACTTTGAAGCCGTCCACCCTGGACGTTGGGGGTGTCCAGCTGACCCTGGCTGAGGTCTCCCTGATTTCACTGAATTGGAGGTCACGGGGGCTCTCCAGAACTGATGGGAGGGATGTGCAAAGGAATGATGATGAGGGCACGGGGTGGGGAGGCTCCTTCTCCTGGGGTCCCACAGACTCCAGACATGCTCGCCACCACACCCCTTTCCTCTGGACCTGGTAATGGAAGCTGCTCTGCAGATTCCAGGCTCTCTACCACTCACCAACTTCCGCTCTGCCTGTGGCACTAGGTCCCACCCTACAAAGTATAGGACCCCCACTTTGGGGCAGGGCACCTCTGTGCCCAGGATAGAACCTCACCTGGGCTGAGGGTCCGGGCTGTGCCCTGGATGCTGTCGGCCTTGTGGGGCCCACGCAGCCCGTACAATGTAAGGGTATACAGGGTCCCTGGATGCAGGTCCCGCAGCACGGCCGAGCGCCGTGTCCCTGGCACTGTCAGCTCCCGCTGCAGCAGGGGACGTAGCTGCGGTTCCAGGGTGCTTGGAGATGGGACTCCGAAGCGGAGCAGGAAGGAGTCAAAGGCCTCGGGTGGGGCCTCCCAGTTGAGCCGCAGTGAACTGGTGGTCACATCAGTCACCGACAGGTGGGACAGCCGGGGCCCCGGCTCTCCGGGGGTCTGACCTGCAGGAACTGGCCCTGCAGAGTGTGTGGGAGAGAAGGGTTTGCAGACAGAAGCACACCAGCTAGGTGCCCTGCGGCAGGTCCCTTCCTGGCCCTCATTTCCTTTCTATAAAAAGGGGCTAGTGAGGGGCTGCCACCCATAATGACAGGTCAGACCCATGAGGACAACATGCTTGTCGGGCCAAGGCCTGCCGGAGCGCCCCTTCCTCCCTCCATGGTGCCCCCTCACATTCTTTCCCCGTGGGCACCACTTCTGGGCATCCCCTTTCGCCTTCCCAGTCCCAGACTAGAGGCAGCCAAGACCAGGACGCCAGTCCCTCTCTGGGCGGTACCTGTGGTGCCGTCAGCTGAGACGGGCCCCAGGCGCTTCCCTTCATGGAGGCCATAGAGGAAGAACTTGTAGGAGGTGCTGGGCTCCAGGCCAGACACGAGGACCTTGTTCTGGTCGCCCCCCACGAGCAAGGCCTGGGGCTGCCCATCTGTGTCCTGATACTGGACCACGAAGGAGTCGAAGGGGCCCCGGACCACACTCCAGGAGAGGCGCAGGGAGTCCGGGGACACGTCCCTCACCGCCAGCACCCCTAGGCGGGGCCCTTCAGGGAGCTTGGGGGCCTCTGTGGCTGGGCTCCAGGGCGCTGGTGTGTCCTCTTCTGGGGCTGTGTGGGAGAAGCCCAGGGAGAAGCTGAGTGTGGGGTGGGGGGTGCAGAGGGGCCCTCCCACTGCATCTGACCTTCCAGAGAGGGAGGGTGTCAGGGCTCAGGTTGAGGGGGGGTGCCTTTTCCATCCTGGCCACAGCAGCCAAGTGGAGAGAAGACAGGGACGTAGGCTCTCCTAGCATCTTCCTTCTCTTGAATGTGCTGCATCCCTGCTGAGACCCTGACTCCCCCGCCACCACCACCCAGGCCTCTCTGAGCGCCAGCCTGGCGGCCCCATGGCCTCTCTGTGGGGCTCCCATGCTGCCTGAATCCCTCACTTGTTTTCTCCTTCTCTGTCTCGAGGTCTCAGCGTGCCCCACTCTAGATGTCTGCATGGGCCCTGCTCCCTCCCTAACCCCCCAGGGCAGCCTGAGCCTTGGCATGAGGCAGGACTCACTCAGTCCCTCTCTGAGCTCAGGGCACATGGGCCTCCCTTCTGTGAAGACCTGAGGATGGAACAGGCAGGAGAACTTGAAGAGCGAATCCCATCAGCCAGGCTGATGTGGGGTTGGAGGGGAGGGGGCGATATTAGGAAGTCTGGAAGGGGAACTCCATCAGTGCAGTCACTCCTATTGCTTTCTATGCTCCTTGCCTGCCTTGTTTTCCAGTAATTTTCCATTTGAGAAAATGGTCCTGACTCATCCACTGGAGGGGGTTTGCCTTATCCGGGCAAGGCCGCTGCCTGCTGGGAGGTAAGAGAAGATCCAGTAGGGTGATAGGGAGCAGCTGGCAGCTGTGGGGCTGGGTAGGGGGGAGGGGCGGGGAGGCGGGAGGTTAGGGACCCTTGCCAGGGCTTTGTCTTTCTGCTTGTTTTGGCTCTGCTTTTGACGGACCCCTCTATCACTGTTCTGAGGCTCTTCCTTCTGAGCCCTGGGCAGGGCCCCCTTGCGCCTTCACCTTGACCACGCCTGCATGACGAAAGGCCTGAGGACATGCATTCAGGCCGGTTTGCAGGGACCAAGCAGCATGGCCTCCTGCTCACCTGTCATTCCCAGGACAGAGGCGGGGCCCAGGCGCTGTCCTCTAAGGAGCCCATAGAGCAGAAACTTGTATTTCCTGCCAGGCTCCAGGCCCTCTACGGTGACCTCCCTCTGGTCTGCAGCCACAGGCACCATCTGGGGCTGCCCGTCTGTGCCCCTGTACTGGATCACGAAGGAGTCAAAGGGGCCCTGGGCCACCGTCCATGAGAGGTGCAGGGAGTTTGGGGTCTCATCCGTCACTGTCAGCTCCCCCAGGCGGGGTGGGGGCTGCCGTTCCTTCTCCAGGGGGGCTGTGGGGAGAGTGGGGGTAGGGGAGAAACCCTTAATTAAGAGCTGCCTTTATCTCAGCCCTGGCAACTTCTGGGAGGAGGGAGGGTCCTCCCCCCACCTGGGGAGACAGGCTGTCCCAGCCCCGCCCTTCCAAAGGAGCCCAGTTTTTGCCTCTGGGGGGCCACTGCCCGAACTTCTGGCCCCCACTGCCTCCTCTCTGTGATGAGGGCACAGTAAATGCGGGAAAGATCACCTCATGAGAGAGGGCAGGCTGGGGTTGCAGGAAGGGCCTTAGTTTCCTCTGACCCCTGACCCCCAGAGCCTGGAATGTGGCCAGAGCTGAGAAAGGTGCCCAGAGGATGTCTGGGTTGTCAGGGAGACATCCCCAAACAGTCAGAGCTGGCCCGGGCAGCCAGCCAAGCTCCTGGGCTCCCATCGCTGGCCATGACCTCCCCCTGCCTTGCCATCAGCCTGGGCTCTCCTTGCCACCTGCTTCCAGTCAGCACTAACTCCACTAGACCAAGGTGGATGGGTGGGGCAGGGGGAGAAGCCAGGGGCAGAGCTGAGAGGATGACGGGCAGAGCAGAGCACAAAAGGGACTTGTCTAGGTGAGCGTGGGTGCTGACTGATGAGGGTTGGAGAAGCCTGTATCCAGTCTCCACAGTGAGGGTTTGGGGAAGATAATTATGGAGTCTGAGACCCCCCAGTCCTCAGCTGGCCATGTGCCCCATCCTTGTCTGGCCAGGGTGACTCATGGTCCTAGAGGTGGGGTAAGGGTCAGTGACCCACCTCCACCCCTTCCTCAAGGGGCTGAGTCATGGTCACAAGACACCAGATTTTTCCATGGTCTTTCTGCAGCCAAACCCTCCCATATTTTCCACTTCTTGCCATAGAACTGGAATGGAGGGAGGAGGATGTGAACATTTATTGAGCCCCATTAGTTATTATTCATAACCATAATGCAGGTCTGGAAACTGAGGCTCAAGGGAAAGAAGTGGCCTCTTCAAGCCCACATAGCAGGCAGTCAGAAGTTGAACACAGGTCTGCTTGGCTCCAAAGTCTGAGTTCTTTTTATTATATTGCCAATAAGAGATTGAAGGAAATAAATGTTTAGAACAGTGCCTGGCATTCAGTAGGGACTCAATAAATATTTGCTTTTGGTGTTATGATTGCCATGTCAAAATCCCCAGGGCCAGCTCTGGGGGCTCAGATGAAAGACAGCTCTGGAAAAGGCTGTGGGCGGGGGACCCGGGGCTCACCTGTGCTGCCTTCAGCGGAGATGGGGCCCAGTCGTTTCCTGCCTACCAGCCCATAGAGCAGGAACTTGTATTTCCTATTGGGCTCCAGGCCGGGGATGGTGACCTCACGCTGGTCAGTGACCACAGGCACCACGCGGGGCTGCCCGTCCCTGTCCTTGTACTGGACCACGAAGGAGTCGAATTCACCCTCAGGGACGGTCCAGGAGAGGCCCACAGAGTCCGGGGTCACATCCATCACCGTCAGCTCCCCCAGGCGGGGAGCAGGTTTTGTGTCTGGGACTGGACAAGAGAGAGGTGCATGGAATGTGACAGAAATGAAACAGGCAGCCTCCTCAGGGTGCTAGGGTCTAGGTACTGGCTCTGGGTGCTGGGAGGGGATGACAAGGTCACAGGTCAGGAGGAGGGGAGGCAGAGGAGTAGGGATTAAAGAGGGGCCAGGGAAGAGAACAAGTGTTCCTGGGGATATTGGAGGAGTAGGATAGGAATGAGACGGTAACCAGGTACTCAGGACTTGGATTTCACTGAACCCGGCAAATAAACTGGGGTCTGGGGTGTGGAGCACGGAAACATGAAATTCCACAAGGGAGTGGATGATGGTCAGGTGGCAAAGGAGGCCTCCAGCCCTCACTCACGAGTCTTTGCGTCTGCAGAGACTGGGCCATGTCGTTTCTCATCCCGGAGTCCGAACAGCAGGAACTTGTACTTGCGGCCGGGGGCCAGACTTGAAACTGTGACCTCTCGGAGGTCTCCACCCACAGGCACTGTCTGGGGCTGCCCCTGCACATCCTTGTACTGGACCAGGAAGGAATCGAAGGGCCCCTGCTCCACTGTCCATGAGAGGCGCGCTGTGTCCGAGGTCACGGCTGCCACCACCAGCTCCCCCAGGCGGGGTGCCAGGGGGGGCTCTGTAGTCAGGGAGGCTGGAACGGAGCAGAGAAGGCTGTGGTCAATGACAGGACCCTGGGCCAGAGTAGGGGGGCTGCTCCCTGGCTGTGAAATGATCATTTGTAGCAAACTCTTCTTAACTGCTACATGTGTCCCAGGCACTGCTATAGGCAGTTTGCAAATAGTGCATTTAATCTTCACACAGCCGCTGAAGTAGGTGCTTTTATCCTTAGCACCCTTGTTGCGTGGGCATCCATGGTGCAGAGAGGTTAAGAAACATTTGCAAAATGAGTACCTTCAGAGCAGGATACAACCTAGAGAACCTGGTTCTCCATCTGTGCTCCAAGCTGCTAAAATGCTCGGTCAGGGAGGCTGAGGAAGTCACACATGAACATCTGAGCAAGTCTGAGGGTCCAGATCATGAAGGAAGGAAGAAAGCTGAAACGTATGGGGCAGAGGCTACCTGCCGAGCTGACCCTGAGCACACCGTCCGTCAGTCCTCATGCACTTCGAGCATGGAGTGGGATCCTCAGCACCACGTGAGGAAAGAGAATAGGCTCCATTTGTGAGAAGTGCTGATATCCCAAAGAGGGAAACAAGAGGGAAACAGGGAAACCTATGGCTCAGGGCTTATTCTACTACTCACCAGTCAAGCCCACGGTGGACACGGGGCCCACGCGCCGCCTCCCATGCAGGCCGTACAGGTTCATCTTGTACTTGTGTCCCGGCTCCAGGCCCCCAATGGTCACCTCGGTCTCCTCACCCCCGACACGCACCACCTGGGGCCCGTCCCTGCCCTTGTACTGGACGGTGAAGGAGTCGAAGTGGCCCTGGGGGACGGTCCAGGAGAGGCTCAGCGAGTCTGGGGAGGATCCTGTCACTGTCAACTCCCCAAGAAGGGGCTCCTCGGGGGGCTCCGGGGCCTCTGTGCTGGGTTCTGTGGGGCTGGGGGTCTCCTCCATCTCTGTGGGGCTGGGGGTCTCCTCCATCTCTGTGGGGCTGGGGGTCTCTTCCTCTGCAGCTGAGAAGAAAGGACACACAGAGGGTGAGGCAGGGTCCCTGGGAGACGTTCTTGGGTCTCCTCCCGAGCCATGGTCCCCACTGGGGACCCTGAGGTCAGTTCAGAGGAGCCTAAGGAGGCTGGTGGTCCTGCTCAGTCCACACCTCACAGACATGCCTGGAGCCCCTGGTGTCAGCTGTGGGAACCAGGACCACCACCAGCATGGCTCACAGAGGCCCTTCTCTGCCCAGGAGGACACTCTAGTCCTCAGGGAGCCCAGGGGAGGCACATAGGGCATCATGGCTCAGCCTGGAGGAGAGGGGCCTCCCGCACCCCACTCCCCATCACCTGAGGGGGTGATCTCCCACTAGGTCCCACCCTGAGGCTTCCACCATCCACTCACTGGTCACCCCGATGACAGAGACGGGGCCCACACGCTGGCGGTCGTGGAAGCCATACAGGTTCATCTTGTACTTGTGGTCTGGCTCCAAGCCCGAGACGGTGACCTCGTCCTCGTCCCCGGGCACCCTCACCACCTTGGGCTGCCCGTCCCCATTCTTGTACTGGATCAGGAAGTGGTCGAACTGGCCCTCGGGGATGGTCCAGGAGAGGCTAAGGGAGTCGGGGGTGGCATCTGTCACAGTCAGCTCCCCCAGGCGGGGCTTGGTGGGAGGCTCGGGGACCGCGGTGGATGGGGTTTGGGTGGTCATGGAGTCGTAGTCCAGAGCTGCACAGAGACATACAGGATAGGTGAGGTCTCCTCAGTCCTCAGTTCAGCATACAAAGGGATGTATTACAAAAATAAAATAATAAGGTACAGGACATGTCTGTCCACAGGAGCTCTAACTCCTCTTTCTCTTAACTCTTTCTTTCTGGTCCCTTGAATGTTGGCCTTCCTGGCACCTTAGCCTCATCCACCCTGCTCTCACCCCTACCTACCAGCACCCTTCCTCACACACGGGCCCACATGGCCACTGTGCTCTGGGCCTCCCTCCACTGCGGTCTCACGGCATCTGAACTCCTTTTGGCTCATGTCTTGGCCCCCAAGCATCTCAGAAGAAGCCCCATCCCCCTTCTCTAATCAGAAACCCGGAGTCTTCTTGGATCCATTCCTGTTGCCATCTGCTGTCCTCCTGGGTGGTGCTAGTGGTAAAGAACCCGTCTGCCAAAGCAGGAGACTAAGAGATGTAGGTTCAATCCCTGGGTCAGGAAGATCCCCTGGAGGAGGTATGGCAACCCACCCCCATATTCTTGCCTGGAGAATCCCATGGACAGAAAAGCCTGGCTACAATCCATGGGGTCACAGAGTCAGCCACGACTGAAGCGACTTAGCACGCATGCACCAACTGCTGTAAGACTCAGAGCATCTCTCTGGAGACTCTCTCTCTGGAGTTCCTCCTGCATCTTCTCACTCCCCACACCTGCAGCCCCGCCACCCTTGTCTGGGACGCCCTTACCTGTCACCTGGGTTACCACCTCCCTATGAGTCTCTGCCTCCCTCCTCCACCTGTTCTTCACAGGGAGCCAGAACGAGCCTTTAAAAGCACATCTGAGGGTCTCAGTCTCAGCATAAAACTGAGCAGCAGTTGTCTCTATTCTGGGAGAGAAATTCCTGGCTCCCTGAGCAGTCCCAACCTCTCTATCCCCATCTCAAGACTATCTCTCCCACCCCAAGAATTTCATACAAAATCCTCTCTTGTGCCATGATGTTCCTAGTACCGACTGAGACCCTTCACCCTGTCTGTAAGTGTTACCAAGATAATGCCTGCCGGTCGTCAAGTCTCAGCTGTCCCGTGGGAACCTGTGGACACCCGTGGGCAGGCAGGCTGGTGTTGGCCTCACTGCCAAGTTTTGGCCTGGCTGTGGGGCTTCCTGTCACCTACACATCCCCCTTTGCTGGTCCACAGCCTGTCTGTGAGCCCCGTGGGATAAGAACTGGTTTCTCTGCCATGTTCAAGGTTTATCTCAGTGAACTTCCTCAGTGCTTGGCTCAGGCCACCCACATCTTTCTTGAACCACTGGTGTCACAAGTCTGTTAACACCCAAACCGTGAGGCTACGGGGCGTTTCAGTCCAGACACTAAACTCTGAGCACACTCCTGCCTTCCTCCACAGCCTCCAGTCAACTACGGAGAGGCCGAGCTCGGCTGAGCTCCTATGAGGACCTCAGGCATGCAAGCACGATTCTGTCTGTAGAATCTAAGGAAGTGTCCAGTTGCTTTGTGAGGAGTTTTAGCAGAGTGTGGTCCCTGGACCAGCAGCATCAGCATCAGGAAGGACTTTAGAAATCCAGTGTGTCCAGCCCCAGGCCAAACCTGCTAAACCTGAATCTGCCTTTTAACAAGAAGCCCCGACCATCTGACGTTCTGGAAAAGATGTGCTGCTGAGAATATTTATGTTTTCATTAAGATGGGAATAAAGAGAAACTCTTCCAGGACCCGTCCTCCCCATCCTGCACCCCACGCTTCCCACCTCATGCATCGGTCACACCCCACACTCACTCACCGGTCATGCCCACGGTGGACACGGGGCCCACACGCCGCCCCCCGTGCAGGCCGTACAGGTTCATCTTGTACTTGTGTCCGGGCTCCAGGCCCCCAGCGGTCACCTCGGTCTCCTTGCCCCCGACATGCACCACCTGGGGCCCGTCCCTACCCTTGTACTGGACTGTGAAGGAATCAAAGTGGCCCTGGGGGACGGTCCAGGAGAGGCTCAGCGAGTCCGGGGAGGATCCTGTCACTGTCAGCTCCCCCAGGAGGGGCTCCTCGGGGGGTTCTGGGGCCTCTGTGCTGGGCTCCATGGGGCTGGGGGTCTCTTCCACAACCTCCTGAGGGTCTGAGAAAAGAGATTGGGGGCAGAGGCTTAGATGGCGACTTGCTTTGACGTCTGCTGATATAAGCAGAGACAACTGGGGGCATCCAGCGAAACACCCCTCAAGCTGCAGGCCTGGAGGCTCATGCAACCTCTGGGTGCAGCATTCGGTGACTCCACGCAGGGGAGACTGAGACACGCCCGACCCCGTCACATACTGGCTGGCGGGCACCATGAACCTTCAGAAGGCAATTCGGACATGCATGTTGGGAGCCAAAATACTGCTCATTTCCTTTGAACCAATAATCTCATTTCTGGGCAGCTATCCTAAGAAAATTATTAAAAAGCAGGAAAAGTTGTATCACCGGAGTTCATTTTGGGATTATTCATGACAGCAAGATGTGTCAGGACTCCAAAGGAACCACAGAAGAAGATTAATTTTGTTATGGCACTTTCACCATGAAGCATCAAATGGCCATTAAAATGATGATTAATGACGGTTGTGTAGCCACAGGATAAATGCTCTCAGTGTAACTTAGGTACAAAAAAAGTTAAGAGCCAAGAATTACATGAACCCTCTGCAACCTGAAAACATGCGGGCATGGAAAACACAGAAAGAGAGGGTGTTACACACATTGTTATGAATGGTGGTTCTTGGGTCAGAAAGTGGTCCGATGAGAGATTTTTTTCCCCTGTTTTCCAAACTTTCCATCATGTTGCTATATGCTTTTCAGAGAAAAATACAGACTTAAAAAGAAACCCTGGATTGTAAGAATTAGTAGTCCAGCAGTGGATGTGGAGTAGGGACATGGGTCACTCTGTGCTTTTTGCACATGCTTGTGATTTGCATGAGAGGGGGCTCTCAGTCCGAAGTGTCTTCAGGAGGGAAGAGTGAACCTCACACAGACAGTTGCCTCACCCCCAAAAAGATTGGCTTTCAGGAGCTGGGTTCTCCCACGTGCAGAGGGACCCTGGTGACATACTGTCACGACTGACAGTGACTTAGAAAAGCCACCCTGACTACAAGTGGGGAATTTAATTCACCTTGGGGATTTTTTTCCCTCATTTCTTAGAGACTAGAAATTGTAACTTTTTCATAATCATCAATGAAATAAATTGCAAGAATGATAAGCAGAAAAGATGGAAGGGATACAAAAGAGGAGACGATGTATTGAAAAAAATTTTCCTGATTATAAAAGAAAAGCTGCTTGTCACTTAAGAAAATGTAAATGACACAGAACAGAACAAAGTGGGAAAAAATAAGTACAAAATATTCTATTGTGTCCCACAAGTCATGCATCCCGTGGGATGTGTTTCCTTCCAGTTGTCTTACTATGCAAGTTATTTTCAAGTGGTTTTGATTAGCCTCCTTACAAACATTGTAAACTCTTATTTCATTGTAAAGTATAAAATAATTGTCTTATGTTTAAACATTTCAATGATGCCATAATAGGTCATTTCACAGATTGTTGTCTAATTACTTAATCATCTCAGTGTGATTGGATGTTGGGTTGTTTCTTTCATTTTTTTTCTTGTTATGAAAAAGAATGCTGTGATTTGTGATTAAGATGGAAAGAAAAGAAAATTCTATCAAAGTCAAGCTTGATCTGAGCCTGACATATATCACCCTTCGAGGCAGGCAGTGACTGATCATCAGAGGTCATGCTACTACTGTGGACAATGAGGCTGTGGGTGGACAAAGGCCAGACCACTACACTCGGGTCACGGCCCAGGGCCATGGAGGAAGGTCATAAAAGGGGTTCAAGGTCTGGTGAAATAACAGAACAGTCAACCAGGTCACCCATGAGGAAAAGGTATTTCCACCCCGGAGACCCGTGAGCCCCACCCTCACTCACCGGTCACGCCCACAGTGGACACGGGGCCCACGCGCCGCCCCCCATGCAGGCCATACAGGTTCATCTTGTACTTGCGTCCCGGCTCCAGGCCCCCAATGGTCACCTCGGTCTCCTCGCCCCCGACACGCACCACCTGGGGCCCGTCCCTGCCCTTGTACTGGACGGTGAAGGAGTCGAAGTGGCCCTGGGGGACGGTCCAGGAGAGGCTCAGCGAGTCTGGGGAGGATCCTGTCACTGTCAGCTCCCCTAGGAGGGGCTCCTCGGGGGGCTCCGGGGCCTCTGTGCTGGGTTCCGTGGGGCTGGGGGTCTCCTCCATCTCTGTGGGGCTGGGGGTCTCTTCCTCTGCAGCTGAGAAGAAGGGACACACAGAGGGTGAGGCAGGGTCCCCAGGAGATGTCGTTGGGTCTCCTCCCAAGCTTTGGCTTTGACTCCAGGCCCTGAAGTCAGTTCGGAGGAACTGGTCCTTGGGGCTGGGTGGTCCTGCTTGGTCCACACCTCACAGACATGCCTAGAGCCCCTGGGGCCAGCTGTGGGGACCAGGGCTGCCACCAGCTTGGCTCACAGAGGCCCTTCTCTGCCCAGGAGGACACACAAAGGTAACCATGGCTCAGACTCGAGGAGAGGGACCTCCCACACCCCACTCCCCCATCACCTGAGGGGGTGATCTCCCCACTAGGTCCCATCCTGGGGCTTCCACCGTCTACTCACTGGTCACCCCGATGACAGAGACGGGGCCCACACGCTGGCGGTCGTGGAAGCCATACAGGTTCATCTTGTACTTGTGGTCTGGCTCCAGGCCCGAGATGGTGACCCTGTCCTCGTCCCCAGGCACCCTCACCGCCTTGGGCTGCCCATCCCCGTTCTTGTACTGGATCAAGAAGTGATCGAACTGGCCCTCAGGGACGGTCCAGGAGAGGCTCAGGGAGTCGGGGGTGGCATCTGTCACTGCCAGTTCCCCCAGGCGGGGCTTGATGGGAGGCTCAGGAGCTGCAATGGGCAGGTCTGTTGGGGCTGGGGTCATTTCTTGGTCTTTTTCTGAGGCTGGATCAGGAGACAAAGAGGATGGTGACATGTTTCCTGAGCTCCTCCCTAACTGGATGGATTCTGAGATTTCTCCCAGATATACTCCCAGATATACTCTGGCCCTGAAGCTGGGATGCCAGTGCCCCAGGGTTAAGACTTCATTTCCCTCGTTTAAATGTTCAGCTTCCAGGGGCAGGGCACACACTGTGGAGTTGTCAAGATGGTATGGTGGGATACCGCTGACCTCAGCATGTGCAGCATGGAAACTGCAGGAGCTGCTGAGCGAATTCACTTAGTGGGCCAGGACTCATGCTTTGTAACAGCACCATGTCTAACAGTCACGTCGCGTCAGGAGGTGCCTGTGCTCAGGTTCCTAAGTATTTTCCTTTAATACCTCCTCTGGTTTAGAAGGCCTTTCTGAGCATTTGAGAATCTAATTTAGATTCCACAGTTGACAGCAGAGATGAGACCACAGGAAATCAGATCATCTTTGCAGTTGGGTTGCTTGAGGACCTTGTATTAATTCTCTTGCCAGTTTATGGCAGGGAAGACCCATCACACCCACAGATTTCTTTTGTCTTTCCTGTTCTGCATAGAATTTTATTCTGGCTTAATAGCTGAATTATAAAATCATCGTATTTCATATCTCCATTGTGTTTGGGAACCAGGTTTTAAGCATGTCGCAGGTAATAGCTATAAAGGAACTTAACAAAAGCAACCAACAGCCAAGATGAGGAGTATTTAATGAAGAGAAAATATCTTGTTTAGCTGCACATATGACTAATATTAGGGCTTCCCTCATAGTTCAGTCAGTAAAGAATCTGCCTGCAATGCAGGAGAACTGGGTTCGATTCCTAGGTCAGGAATCTTCCTCTGGAGAAGGAAATGGCAACCCACTCCAGTATTCCCGCCTGGAGAATCCCATGGACAGAGGAGCCTGGTGGGCTCCAGTCCATGGGATTGCAAGAGTCAGACACAACTTAGCAACTAAGCCACCATGATTAATGTTAACTACTGAAGTAACAGTATCCATGATAGCAGGGTTCCGTGTTGACATAGAATCCATGGCTATCAGTATCAAATACAATTTTACCCAGTGAAATCAATAATAATTATGAGAATTCACCCAAGGGTTTTCAGTAACTAATTTTCTTCCTCAAAAGGAGCCGCCAGTAGTTACCAAACACTGTGGGTGAGCCAAGCCACGCTCACCCTGCCAGACAGGTATGGCTATTCTTTCTGCACGAATGCCGAAAGGGAGGCACAGAGAGGTTGAGTGACTCTCTTGAGGTCACACAGCTCTAAGGGGCCGAGAATAAGGCCAGCCCCAGGTCTGCTTGAGTCTATTATTTCCTTGGCATCCTCCCTCTTCAAGGACTCAAAAAGTGTAAAGGGTGAGACAGCTAAAGTGACACTAAGGCTTGGAGTGAAGACAGGCACAGAACCACTCCCAGGAGCTTGGGAGGCTCAGGTTCAAGAACAATGGGAGAAAAACATGAGTACTGGCAATTAAAGGGAAACTGAGCCCAGCTCGGGGTCAGTGTCCTGCTGCACACTCACCAGTTAAACCGACAGTGGAGATGGGGCCCACGCGCTGGTGGTCGTGGAAGCCGTACAGGTTCATCTTGTACTTGTGGTCTGGCTCCAGGCCCGAGATGGTGACCCGATCCTCGTCCCCGGACACCCTTACCGCCTTGGGCTGCCCGTCCCCGTTCTTGTATTGGACTAGGAAGTGGTCAAACTGGCCCTCGGGGACAGTCCAGGAGAGGCTCAGAGAGTCGGGAGTGGCATCTGTCACAGTCAGCTCCCCCAGCTGTGGCTTCAAAGGAGGGCTAGCAGGGGGCTCCTCTTCCGGGGCTGGGGAGAGAGGCAAACAGAATTGTTCCTGCTGCAGGAAGGAACTGCTGAGGCCCTGCTCTCCTGGGTTCAGGCGAGAAGGTGGGCCAGCTCTGGGGGCCTAACTTCAGACCCAGCTGTGCCTATGCCATCACAATCTCTTTGTGGCCTCCTTATGGTCCATCCAATGTGCCAAGTGGCCTCTCGCCTCGATGCCTGAATGTTCTTTCCCCAGATGTCAGCATGGCTCATGTTCACACTTCCTTTAAGTCTTCATTCAAATGTCAACTTCTCTTTAGGGCCTTTCCTGCCTACCCTATTTAAAATCCCAGTTCTCCCAATTGCAGCCTATCTTTTTTAATTGGATCTGATTCCAACAAAAAATTGCAAAAGGACAATTAGGACACTATCAGGAGGCTGTGTGCTTAGTCGCTCAGTCATGTCCAACTCTTTGTGACCCCATGGACTGTAATGTAGTCTGCCAGGCTCCTCTGTCCATGTGGATTCTCCAGGCAACAATACTGGAGTAGGTTGCCATGCCCTCCTCCAGGGGATCTTCCTAACCCAGGGATCGAACCTAGGTCTTACGCATTGCTGGCGGATTCTTTACCGTCTGAGCCACCAGGGAATCAGGAAACTTGTAATACCCGAATATCTGGTTTTTAAAGGCACAATCACTGTGTCATGGTTACTTTTAAATGGTCTTTTTGAAAAGAGCAGTACACTTAAATATGTAATGATGAAATAAAGAGTGTATAGAATACATTTTTAAATATTACAGCAGTGTATCCATACAATGGAATGTTATTTGACTATAAAGGAATGAAGTACTGCTACATGCTACAACACAGATCAACCTCAAAAACATGCTAAAATGTGGTAAAAGAAGTCAGACATGAAAGAAGCAGGTATTGCATGATCCCAGTTATATGATGTGTCCAGAAAAGGCAAATCTACAGAGACAGAAAGTAGATTTGTGGGGATCAGAAATGGGCATGAAAATGGGTCTGGACACCAGATTTCATCTCAATGTGGTGGAAAAGTTCTAAAATTATTAATAGATAGTGATGATGGTTGTACAGTTCTGTGAATACACTAAGATTGATAAGCTGTATGCTTAAAACAGGTGAATTTTATGGTATGTAAGGTATACCTCAATAAAGCTGTTAATAAAGAAAACATTCTAGGACTTCCTAGTGGTTAAGAATCTGCCTGCCAACACAGGGGACATGGGTTTGATCCCTGCTCCGGGAAGATCCCACATGCCACAGAGCAACTAACTCCTTGTGCCACAGTTACTGAGCCTGTGCTCTAGAGCCCTCCAGTGGTAACTGCTGAATCCCCCATCACCTAGAGCCTGAGCTCTGCAACAAGAGAAGCCGCTGCAATGAGAAGCCTGTGTACCGCAACATAGAGTAGCCCCCGCTCGCCACAACTAGACAAAACCTGTGTGTAGCAATGAAGACCCATCACTGCCAAGAATAAAATACATTAAAAAAAAAGAAGAAGAAAGATAATATTCTCGAGTTGAGGATGGTGGGAGGTGAGTGGGCTCTGGATGAGCTAGACTGTCCAAGATGTGCTTTTGGTTGAAGCAGGGTGATTGACACATAGGAATTCATTATGCTATTCTTTCCCTTTGGATATATGTCTGAAATTTTATATAATAAATACTTGTTGAGATTTAATATTTCATTGCATTTGTCCCAACACCCCGAAAGTGTTCTTTTTAGAGTTTCTACGCAAAGCAGAGAGCCACAGACAGGTCATGTATGACTGGCTTGGAGGCCTCAGTCCCCAACAGCCTCTCAAGGGCAAGCATTTCCCTGGGACTCCCTCTTTCTGCTCCTAGATCACACTTGTCCTGAAGTGCTGAATGGATAATGAATGAAGTAGAGATTTGGGGGTTTTAGGGTCTTCAGTGGAAGACACTCGAGAGGCTCTACAATGAGACCTTTCCTGAAACCTCATCCCAAGCCCCGCTCTCACTCACCGGTCACGCCCACGGTGGACACGGGGCCCATGCGCTGCCCCCCGTGCACACCGTACAGGTTCATCTTGTACTTGCGTCCGGGCTCCAGGCCCCCAACGGTCACCTCGGTCTCCTCGCCCCCGACACGCACCACCTGGGGCCCGTCCCTGCCCTTGTACTGGACGGTGAAGGAGTCGAAGTGGCCCTGGGGGACGGTCCAGGAGAGGCTCAGCGAGTCTGGGGAGGATCCTGTCACTGTCAGCTCCCCTAGGAGGGGCTCCTCGGGGGGCTCCGGGGCCTCTGTGCTGGGTTCCGTGGGGCTGGGGGTCTCCTCCATCTCTGTGGGGCTGGGGGTCTCTTCCTCTGCAGCTGAGAAGGAGGAACACACAGAGGGTGAGGCAGGGTCCCCAGGAGATGTCGTTGGGTCTCCTCCCAAGCTTTGGCTTTGACTCCAGGCCCTGAAGTCAGTTCGGAGGAACTGGTCCTTGGGGCTGGGTGGTCCTGCTTGGTCCACACCTCACAGACATGCCTAGAGCCCCTGGGGCCAGCTGTGGGGACCAGGGCTGCCACCAGCTTGGCTCACAGAGGCCCTTCTCTGCCCAGGAGGACACACAAAGGTAACCATGGCTCAGACTCGAGGAGAGGGACCTCCCACACCCCACTCCCCCATCACCTGAGGGGGTGATCTCCCCACTAGGTCCCATCCTGGGGCTTCCACCGTCTACTCACTGGTCACCCCGATGACAGAGATGGGGCCCACACGCTGGCGGTCATGGAAGCCATACAGGTTCATCTTGTACTTGTGGTCTGGCTCCAGGCCCGAGATGGTGACCTTGTCCTCGTCCCCAGGGACCCTCACCACCTTGGACTGCCCATCCCCGTTCTTGTACTGGATCAGGAAGTGGTCGAACTGGCCCTCGGGGATGGTCCAGGAGAGGCTCAGGGAGTCAGGCGTGGCATCTGTCACCTCCAGCTCCCCCAGGCGGGGCTTGATGGGAGGCTCGGGGGCCACGGTGGACGGGGTTTGGGGGGTAGAGGGAGATTCTGAAGGTTCATCATCCTCCTCTCTTGGGGCTGAACACAGACATGGAGAGAAAAGGACCTGAGAGAGGGGCACAGGGTCCGCGGGGACTCGGCCCTCCTCTGCGCCCTCATGGCCCCCTGGAAGGAAGCTGAGTGGGCAGAGTTCTTTTGCTCACCTGTCATGGCCTCGATGTGGGCAGGACCAACACGTTGCCCATCGTGGAAACCGTACAGGCTCACCAGGTATCTGTGGTCGGATTCCAGGTCAGAGATGGTGATGTCACGCTGGTCGCCCCCTACATTAACTTCTTGGCGTTGCCCATCCTCATCTGTGTATTGGACCTCGAAGGAGTCAAATTCTCCCTCAGTTGCTGTCCACGAGAGATGCAGGCTGTGTGGGGTGGCCTCCTCCAGAGTCACCTCCCCCAGATGGGGCTCAGATGCTGTATGACTGAAGGTTTCAGGCTCAGCTTCGATTTCTTCCCTAGGGGCTGGTTCTGAGAGACAGGTAGAGAGGGGTGAGTGGTCTGTCGCTGCACCAAGACTCTCCAAGAGGATGGATGGAGGGAAGGAGGTGAGGACAAGAGATCAGTAATAAAAAGGACCAACTACTGATACCCAGGGATGAACTTCAAAAGCATCATGCTAAGTGCAGGAAAAACACACAAAAAACTATGTACTGTATGAGTCTGTTAAACAAAACACTTCTTAAAAAGGCAAAACTATAATGACAGAAAGCAATTAGTGGTTGCCAGAAGCTGGGATCAGGGAAACTGACAGTCAAGGAGCATGGGGAAACGTCTAGAGTCATTGTTTTCTATCTTTGCTGTAGTAATGGTCATGAATTAGACATCTTCCCAAACTCACTGAATTATGCTCTTAAAGTGGGTGAATTTTATTGTATGTAAATTATGCCTATATGAAGCTGACCTCTTCCCCCAAAAGAAGGGGTACAGGAAGCTCAGAAATCCTGACTCCTTCAGACCAGGAGAGCCAGGTGGGAAGGAGGGACAGTGAATTCCCCTGGCTGCACTCACCGGTCACAGCGATGGCAGAGATGGGACCCATTCGCTTGTCCCTGGACAACCCGTAGAGCAGCAGCTTGTACCTGCGGGCAGGGTCCAGGCCCGAGACACTGACCTCCCTGCGGCTGCCCTCCACGGGCACCACCTGGGGTTGCCCGTCTCTGTCCCTGTACTGGATCACAAAGGAGTCGAAGTGGCCCTCAGGAACCATCCACGAGAGGCCCACGGAGTCTGATGTCACACCGGTCACCTGCAGCTCTTCCCCCAGACGTGGTTTGGAGGGACGCTTTGTTCCAGCCTCGTCCACTGCTCTGCGGGTCTCTGAGATGGAAACACAGAGAGGAAATGGTTGTTTCTGGAAGGCTGGGTGACCCTGAAGGGAAGGACTGAGAGGTCTAAAGATGGGACTGAGCTGCGGCTGCGCCCTGCAGGACTGGGTCTTCGGGCTTGTGCAAGGAGATGGGCTGGATTCCAGACAGACAACCAGACCCAAACAACAACCATGATGACAGCCACTACAAGTGACCAGAGCAACCTTCCCCAAGGGCCCCCCCAGACCAGGGACACCCCCTGCAGGGGCTGCCCTCACCTGTGGTGCCCTCGGCGGTGAGGGGGCCATGGCGCCTCTTGCCCAGGAGGCCGTAGACAAGGAATCTGTACTTGCGGCCGGAGTCCAGAGGGCTGATGGTGACTGAGTGCTCATGGCCCTCCACGGACACCACGCGGGGCCCATCCCTGTCCTTGAACTGGACCACAAAGGAGTCGAAGTGGCCCTCGGGGACCGTCCAGGAGAGGCGCAGTGAGTCTGGGGTGGGGTCTGTCACCCACAGCTCCCCGAGGCGGGGTGGGGCTCCTGGGCTGGCGTCACCTCGGCCAACTGACAGAGAGGAAAGTTTCTTGTGTTTATTTTTTTTTTTTCCAAAATGACTCCTTGACTGCTTCCCTCTGGAGTTGGAAAAATCTAGAACTGCCCAAATGATCAATGCTTCCCCCAGATATTTCCATCACCATCACATGCCCACCAGCATCCTTATCTGGCCATGCCTCTGTCCATTAACCAGCGCAGGGAGCAGCCTTCTGTCCTGGGAAAAGCGATTCCCTAGCTTCCTATTTATCTTATTACACTTGTTATCCAGACTCTAGCCATCTGATAGGGACCATTTCCTTGGCAGGGTGCGGCTTATCACAGGCTTCATCTGCTTATTTTCTTTGACCAAGGAATCCATTGCTTGTGATTTGACTGTTCTCTGGGAAAACCCAAGGGTCCTGGGGACATCAGAGTGGGTACAGGTCCCTGGGGGCAGACAGCCGGTGGGGAGGTAGGATATTATGATGACGGTGACCCTCATAGGACCTGGTGGAGGAGTTGGGACTGCTTTTGTGTGAGGAGGGGTACAAGGAGAAGAAGGATGCTCAGACAGGAGAAGGATCTGGTGTCTGCCCAAGAAGCCATCCCGGGGCCTGAGAAGGAGCTGGCCTTCTGCCTTTCTGGACAGCAAGGAAGCTGACGGCATTGTTATTGTGAGAGTTCTCTGGCAACTGGGAACCCCCAGGGGCAGGGGAGGGCCTGGATCAAAATCCAGGAAAGGGGCATAGATGGGCTGGGCCTGACTGGGCCAGACTGGGCAGCCAGTCTTGGGCTCTTCTGGTCCTCATTTCTGAGGCTCCAGGAAGAGGGCAGGGGAGGAAAGCGGTCCCTCTGGAGAGGCAGATACGGGACCCAGCGTGCCTGGGCCTGCAGGGTGGGAAAAAGGGTGAGGGTCAGTGGAAGCTCTCTCTCGGGAGGTGATGGCTACACAAGGCTGAGACTTGGATGTGGAACAGCTCTGGCCTCCCGCCCTTGTTTCCCAGTCCTGCTGTGTCTCGTGCTTCCACCTTCCAGGAAGGGTCCTGGAGGAGTCTCCCCCATTGAACAGAAGTAGGAATTATGAGAAGAGGTGAAAGTCAGCCGGGGGAACTGATCCAGGAACCCACTTCATTTTCTTGGTTCCTATCTGACTGGGAAGGGAGAAGGTAGCAGGGCTTTTCAAATAAAAAGGAAGAGGTGGATGAAAGGGAGACCAGGTGGAAAGGAGAGGCGTTCAGGCAGCGGGAAGAAGGACAGCGGGGCTGGGACCTCAGCTTCGTGGGGGTCCCTCTTACCTGTCTTTGCCTCCACAGAGACTGGGCCACGGCGTTTCCCATCTTGGATCCCAAAGAGCAGGAATTTGTATTTCCTACTGGACTCCAGGCCGGGGACAGTGACCTCACGCTGGTCGGCGGCCACAGGCACCACCTGGGGCTGCCCATCCCTGTCCTTGTACTGGACCAAGAAGGAGTCGAATCCACCCTTGGGGACGGTCCAGGAGAGGCCCACAGAGTCCGGGGTCACATCCATCACCGTCAGCTCCCCCAGGCGTGGCTCCACGGGAGGCTCTGTGACTGGGGCTGGGGGGACGGGAGCTAGGATCCAGGAAGACAGAGAACATGGCTGAGATCTCCGGCAGGAAAACTTCCCCCTTGCAGGGCTCCTGGGCTCTGAGGGCCTCCAGGGGGTATTGAACTGAGATAGGGAGCAGTTACATCTCTATTTTCACCAGCCTCTAGCATTTCCTTCAATGATGCATATAGGAAACCAACACAGTGGTACTAGCAGTGCTCATGACTGTCACCAACAGGAATCACAGATGCTGTCACATCAGCTTAGAATTACTGCAGAAACTTCAAAACACTCTTTACACTCATCACTGCTTCTAAATAGGTTATTAAACATGCCACAAGGTTCTTGCTATTTAATGGACTAATAGTGAAGTTCCTATATTACTAATTCATAAATTCGAGTTTTAAAACACCTTTGATAATTGGCTATCAATAGAATCGATATGTTATAGTAAGCCCTATGCATTTTACTTTATAGATTTTAAAACATTGCTCTGAAAGGGGTTCACTGGTTTCATAGACACCACAGCACAGAAACGGTGGTGGCCTGTCCCCAGAAGGCGTGAGGGGCAGGAGACGCCGGGAGCGGAGAGCAAGGGCCATATCCCTGGAGGAAGGAAGACTCTGGGTTGGCCAGAAGGGAACACAGCCCAGGCCAGGGGGGCCGAGGGCCTCTGAGAAAAGATTCGAGGGATGTGTGTTGTTTAACCCCAGTGAAAAAGGGCAGCAGGGGGAGGTGGTAGCCTGTCCAAGTCACAGCGGGGTTGTGAAGAGAGGGGAGGAAACAGCTGTGGATGATCAGAGAGATAGCGTCTGGCTGAACCTGGTCGGAGGGGAGGAAGACAAGCCTGCCTGGGGGAGGAGGCAGAGCAGAGATAGAGACTGGAAGACAGGGAAGGTTCCAGCTCACAAGAGGATCTCTGGGGTCAGGGAACAGACCACATGCCTGTGACTGGGGAGGATCTGAGCGAGAGGCTGGGGATGGGGAGTGGCCCTGGGTGACCAGGGATGGGGACTGCCTTGACCCACCCTCACTCACCGGTCAGGGCCACCACGGAGAGGGGGCCCACGCGCTGCCCACCATGTAGCCCATACACGTTCATCCTGTATTTGCGCTCAGGCTCCAGCCCGGAGACAGTGGCCTCTCGCTGGTCTGCGGCCACAGGGATCACGTGGGGCTGCCCGTCCCTGTCCTTGTACTGGACCACAAAAGAGTCAAACTGACCCTCAGGGACTGTCCATGTGAGGCCCACAGAGTTGGGGGTCACATCTGTCACTGTCAGCTCCCCGAGGTGTGGTTCCTTGGGGGGCTCGGTGGCCGGAGGAGTCTCTTCTGCTTGTGGAGCTGAGACAGAAATGGGGGAGGCTGTCAGGAAAAGCCCCTCTTCCCCTTGGTAGTAATTATCTGTGTTGTTGTGGTGGTGCCCAGGGGGTGGTTCTGATGTAAGACTACACTGATTGGCAACATCTGTCTGGCCGACAAGCCTTCACTAAGTGCCTGCCAGAATCTGGGGCTGTGCTTGGTGGGGAGGGGTGTCAGTCACCACCGAGACCCTGGGAAAGTGGCTGAAGGTCCATCTGCCCATTTCTGGCTCCAAGTCCTCCAGTCAGACCTCCCAGCTGACCCCCAGACTTGGGTGTGTGCTCACCATCTTCCTTGGGTGCCTAACTGATCCCAAATTCCAGTCCAAAGCCAAGTTCAGGGGCTTTCCCCCGCAACTCCTGTTCCCTCCACAGCCTTCCCACCTCATCAAAACCTCCGCTTCACTGTCAGAGTCATCCCTGAGTCCTCTCCTCCACCCCACGGCCGGCCTGCGAGTAAGTCCTGTCGACACTGCCTTCAGAAGCTGACTGCCCTACTCCTTAAGTCCACCACCACCCCCTCTAATTTGGAAAAGGAAATGGCAACCTACTCCAGTGTTTTTGCTTGGAGAATTCCATGGACAGAGGAACCTGGCAGGATACAGCCCATGGGGTTGCAAAGAGTCGGACACAACTGAGCGACTACCAATCACCTCCTCTAAGCACATGGGTCTTACTGGATTATAGCACAGTCTCCTAAATCCCTCTCCTCCTCCCCTCTTCACTGTGTTCCCCACTGTTAGCACATTAGTCAGAGCCTGTTCCCGCCATGGTTTCCATCTCACTCAGGGCAAAAAGCCAAGTCCTTACAATGACCTCCCTCCGAGGCCCCACATGTTTACCTCTCACACCACCCTCCTCATTCCAAAACAGTCCTCGCTGGTCCTCAGACATTCCCTCTGCCCGGAAGCTCTTCCCCAGAGGCCTGCATGACTTGTCCTCTCCCTCCGGCAGGTCCTTCTTCAGTGAGTCCCTTTCCAGCCCGCTTCCCACCCACTCACCATCTTGCCTACCGGGCTTTGCTTTTCTCCCCAGCTCTTGTCACTGTCTCACACACAGCCCTACAGACACATTTGTGCAATTTGGTGCCTGTCTCCTCTGATAGAATGTGAGCTCCCGGAAGGAGCCTTGCCTTGTTCACTGCTGTGTCCCCAACACTGGCACCCAGTGGGTGCTCTACAATGTTTGTTAAATTAATGAGTGGTATGCACATCTGGGAGAGGCTGAGCTAAGGACCCGCTAGTCCCCACTGCCCCAGAGCGAGCTGAGTCTGGGAGGCACTGCTTATTAGGACCAGCCTGGAAAGTGGTCCCAAGAGGCAAGTAGCAGAGGGGTGGCTAGGTGGGTGGGTTCCCAAGATCCTGTTTCTCAGGTTCCTGTGGGAGGATAAGATTAGGCTCTGTACTCATAAAACCTGCTTTCAAAATGGGCTGGGGGGCTTCCCTGGTGGCTCAGTGGTAAAGAATCCACCTGCCAGTGCTGGAGACGCGGGTCCGACCCCTGATCCAGGAACATGGAGCCTGTGTCTAGAGCCCAGGAGACACAGCCACTAAGCCCTCGAGCCACAGCTCCAGAAGAAAGCATGTCTCGAGCCCGTGCTCCTCAACAAGAGAAGCCACTGCAATAGGAAGCCCCCGCACCACAGCTAGAGAGCTGCGCTCACTCACCACAACCAGAGAAAAGCCTGTGAAGCAATGAAGACCCAGAACAGTTAAAAGTAAGTAAATAGACTTAAAACGGGGAGGTGGGGCTGGCATGAGAATCCCCTGGTGGTTCTTGGTTAGCACTTGATGCTTCCACTGTAGGGGGAATGGGTTCAATCCCTGGTCCTGAAATCCTATAAGCCATCAGCTTGACCAAAAAATTTTTTTAAAAAATTAAAGTAAAAATGGGCTGGTGGTGAGGCCTCAGAAGGACAGAAGTAAGTCTGAGTGGGAAGGGCAGGGATGGAGGCAGCTGAAGGAGGGAGGGAGTGACCACCATGTACTGAGCTTCTCCCAGGTTCAGGAACCAGGCCAGGTATTGTGTTCCATTTAATTTGCCTTCCAACTCTGTTGTTCTTGTAGCTTCCATTTCCTGCTTGTTTTCGCCCTCTCTGCACTTCTTTCCATGAGAGAGAAACTGTCCTCACCATCAAGCCTTATGCTGGTGCTTTGGCTCAACTGGGGAAGGTGGAATGATAACTACCCGTGAGTACTGCAGTCCCCATGCTGCATTTGGTAAAATCCTTTCCCAATTAAGCAATGTTTCTAAAGCTGCACGTTAGTTCTTCTCCTAGCAACGGCTCAGCATGTGCTGTGTGCCAGGCATAGTCCCTCGGTCAGCTCAGCAGGCTCCAGCTGCCCATCGCCTTCCTGCTTGGATAATGAGCTCCATCACACAGCTTAAAACTGAGAAGCTAAGAATGGAATGCAGTTTCTTCGATTCCAAGAGTCAACTGTCCTCTACTGCACTGCCCCAGTCAGGGCCCGACATAGTCCATCCTTACCTGGGAACTGGACTTCCCAAGTGGAGCTAGTGGTAAAGAACCTGCCTGCCAATGCAGGTGACATAAGAGACGTGGGTTCGATCCCTGGGTGGAGAAGATCCCCTGGAGGAGGGCATGGCAACCCACTCCAATATTCTTGCCTGGACAATCCCATGGATAGAAGAGCCTGGCAGGCTACAGTCCATAGGGACAGACACAACTGAAGCAACTTGCATGCACGCACGTGCCCAGGGACCAGCGTGGCTGCCCCAGACAAATGGACCTAAGGTGACCCCAGGAGAAACCTTGGCTGTATGTCCTAGGCCTAACACAAGCCTCCACCTTTCTACTTCAGGCCCACAGGACAGTAACCCACTGAGGCTTGCCCCTCTCCCCACTCTCTGTGCTGACTGAAGAAAGAAAGGAAATCAGGGGTGAAAGACTCTGGACACTAAGCCAACCAAGCTCCTTTGAGAAATACAGAAACCATGTTCCGGAAACATGTTTCTCTGCTTTTAAAAATCTTTCCCTTTAGAATAAAAGTTGCTTTTGAAAAATCTGTGTCTTTGTTTCAGTGAACAAAGGAAAAAAGAGACGCCCTGTCCCTGGGGCCAAGCTGGGCAGACCAGCAGGAGGGTCACAGAAGCCTGTCTGGGGCCTGGGCCTGGCCCTGGGGCTCTGCAGAGTGGGTGCCCAGGCGGGTCCTCTGTGGTGGCTGAGGGGCCCTGTACCTGGGTGGAAGGGACAGTCTTCTTTGCTGTAATCACTCACCGGATGAGTCATAAAAGAAGTTTCCAGCTTCCCTGGTGAAGAGGCCAATGTCTCATGCACATTCTAAGAAGCTGAACCAGCCAAAGGGAACAGAGCAGACCCCAGGGTAAGGCCAGATATAATCATCGCAGTGGCCAACACTGCCAGCATGTTTACTCTGAGCCAGGCCTGCACTAATTCACTTAATCTCACAACAGTTCTGTGAGGTGGGCATTATTAACCCCATTTTACGGCTGAGAAAACAAACACAGTAAGTTGAAAACTCGCTCAAGGTGGTGCAGCTGGTTGTAGCCCAGTCCGCAGTGAACTGTTCTTTCTAGGTCGTCCCCAAGCAGGGGGTTCCATCGCAGCAAGGAAGGGAGACGCCACAGGGAGCCTCGGGGCCACTGAGGGGAGGGAAGCAAACAAAGGCCCCACACTAACTCACCGGTCACGCCCACGGTGGACACGGGGCCCATGCGCCGCCCTCCGTGCAGGCCGTACAGGTTCATCTTGTACTTGCGTCCCGGCTCCAGGCCCCCAATGGTCACCTCGGTCTCCTCGCCCCCGACACGCACCACCTGGGGCCCGTCCCTGCCCTTGTACTGGACGGTGAAGGAGTCGAAGTGGCCCTGGGGGACGGTCCAGGAGAGGCTCAGCGAGTCCGGGGAGGATCCTGTCACTGTCAGCTCCCCCAGGAGGGGCTCCTTGGGGGGCTCCGGGGCCTCTGTGCTGGGTTCCGTGGGGCTGGGGGTCTCCTCCATCTCTGTGGGGCTGGGGGTCTCCCCCATCTCTGTAGGGCTAGGGGTCTCTTCCTCTGCAGCTGAGAAGGAGGAACACACAGAGTGGGTGAGGCAGGGTCCCCAGGAGATGTCCTTGGGTCTCCTCCCAAGCCACGGTCCCCACTGGGGGCCCTGAGATCAGTTCAGAGAAGCGTAAGGAGGCTGGTGGTCCTGCTCAGTCCACACCTCACAGACATGCCCGGAGCCCCCGGCATCAGCTGTGGGGACCGGGGCTGCCACCAGCACAGCTCACAGAGGCCCTTCTCTGCCCAGGAAGACCCACAAAGGTCACCATGGCTAAGCCTCATGGAGAGAAACCTCCCACACCCCACTCCCCCATCACCTGAAGGGGTGATCTCCCCACTAGGTCCCATCCTGGGGCTTCCACAGTCTACTCACTGGTCACCCCGATGACAGAGACGGGGCCCACACGCTGGCGGTCATGGAAGCCATATAAGTTCATCTTGTACTTGTGGTCTGGCTCCAGGCCCGAGATGGTGACCCCATCCTCATCCCCTGGCACCCTCATCACCCTGGGTTGCCCGTCCCCGTCTCTGTACTGGACGGTGAAGGAGTCAAAGTGGCCCTGGGGGACAGTCCAGGAGAGGCTCAGCGAGTCCAGGGAGGATTCTGTCACCGTCAGCTCCCCCAGGAGGGGCTTCTTGGGTGGCTCTGGGGCCTCTGTGCTGGGTTCTGTGGGGCTGGGGGTCTCCTCCCTCTCTGTGGCGCTGGGGGTCTCATCCAGGACTTCCTGAGGGACTGAGAGAAGAGATTAGGCTCTCAGGTGACATGCTTTGGTGGTGACATTAATCATGACAAAAAGTACATTTGGCAAGTATACTCTTCAAGCTGTTGGCTTAGGAGTTCCTGTAGCCTTTGTATTAGCCATTCAGTGACTCATTGAAGGAGAAAGCGCTGAGACAGGCCCCTAAACCCCACCGTGTACTGCTGGCCAATTGCACTGGCTGGGCTCTCATGTCTGAGAAAGGAGGTGAGGCAGGATGAGAGAAAACTGAGGAATTCTTCCATACTGTGTTCATGGAGTGTGCTGACCACAGGAAAGTGAGGGGGCAGCAAGGACTTGTCTCACTTGCACTTCTCCCTGTCAGTTGCTGCCCCTCCCCGGGGTTGCCCAGCTCCCCGAACCCCACTGACCAGGACAGAAAATGGGGTGTGCTCTGGCTAAGACCTCCCCGGGCAGCCCTGTCTCTTCCTCCACTTCAGACACGAGTAGGGGAAAGGGTATGGGAATGGGGCTGGGGGAAGAATCACAGTCACAAGGGTATCCACCCACCGTCCGCAGTAGCCAGGTCTCTGCTGAGGCTCCGTGAGGTGGGGAGACTGGCACAAGGGAAGCCAGCCCTTCTGTGACCCACTCCCCGGCCCATGGGGGACCACTTTGGGCACAGAAGATTGAGGAAGCAGCAAGCAAGAATGATAACCCAGACAAGGAAGGGGAAGGTGGAAAGGTGGGGAGAAGAAAAGGATACTGGGAAGGGAGAGAGTCAGGGAGAAATGATGGCCTACTCTTCAATAGCAGTTTTGACGTGCTAGGCACTAAGTGTATTAACCCATTTAATTCTAATAGCTCTGTGAAGCTGTGTACCCTTGTTATCCCCATTTGACAAGTGAGAAAGCTGAGGCCCAGAGACTCATTAAGTTGCACAAGATCCCAAAGCTAGGATTAATATCCAGGCAGCTGGCTCTAGGGCCCATACTCCCAACCACAATGCTACACAGTCAGGGAAATGTGCTGGATGGGGGAGGCTGGGCCCTAGGAGGAATGTAGGGCTGGGGGCTGAAAGCGAGCCCTTTGCCCTGCTCCAAGCTGTCTGGGACTCAGCGAGTTCAGGGGGCTGGGGAAATGTGGAGCTCATGTGCCTTGGATTTGCCAATTCTGAACAGGGCATTGGTGGAGGGAGGGTGTGGGCAGCAGGTAATAGAAGCTCAGAAGAGACCACAGCCTCAGCCAGGAGAAGAAGGCCAGCAAAGGCCATGAGGAAATAACACCGTGGCTGAGGACACGAAGTGGGAGGATAGCCCAGCGGGACGGATGATTCTCAGTTCTCAGAATGGTGGAAAAGGGGCCTGTCCTTGGAGCTGGAGAAGCAGGGCCAAGAAAGATGTCAGGGGCTGGCGGCTGGATGTGAAATCCTGAGATAAGGGAAGCCTTCAGACGGCGGAGGCTTTGGCAGAATGGAGCCAAGGAAGAGAAGGTGCAGAGAGGCGCCAAGGCCAGGTCCCACTCAGAGGGCTAGGGGTTGGTGGGTGAGGAGGCCTGACTCACCTGTGGTGGCCACCACGGACACAGGCCCCACGCGCTGCCTGCCATGAAGCCCATAGAGGTTCATCTTATACTTCCGATTGGGCTCCAGGCGGGGGATGGCGACCTCATTCTCATCACCCCTGACGGGTACTGCTTGGGGCCGCCCCTGGGCATCCTTGTACTGGACCACGAAGGAGTCGAAAGAGCCCTGGGCCACTGTCCAGGAGAGGCGCAGGGAGTCTGCAGTGGTGCCAGTCACTGTCAGCTCCCCCAGCAGGGGCTGCTCTGGGGGCTCTGCATGGCGGTGCTCCTCTTTCTTCTCTGGGGCTGTAAATAAGAAGGCCCAGGCGGGGCTGAACTGGCAGAACCCCAGGGTTGGGGCCTGGGGTTTGGAAGGCTTGTCACACCTGTGGGGGTCTCTACTCGATTAGCATGAGCGCTGAACTCTAAGAAGCCTGGCACAGCCAGAGTATGACACACCTTCTGGGCCTCGGGGAGCAGCTGAACAGGATGAAAGGGGCCCAGCAGTGCGGGGGAGGCTGGCTGGCCCTGAGCCCAAAAGCGGGGTCAGGATTCCACATCAGCCATCTCGCTGGGAGGCCCCAGCCAGCTCCTGGCTGAGGGCAGGCATGTGGAAGGCTGGGAGGGGTCAGCCTTAGGGGTCAGCCCCTCTGTAAAGCTGGGGGCTTAGGAGGCTGCCACTCACCGGTGGTGCCATCGGCCGTGAGGGGGCCGTGCCGTTTCTTGTTGGCAATCCCAAACAGAGTGAATCTGTACTTGTGGTCAGGGTCCAGCGGGGAGATAATGACCGAGCGCTCGGGCCCTTCCACGGGCACCACCTGGGGCCGTCCGTCCTTGTCCCTATACTGGACCACGAAGGAGTCAAACTGGCCCTCAGGGACAGTCCAGGAGAGGTGCAGTGAGTCTGGGGTGGGATCAGTCACCCACAGCTTCCCCAGGCGGGGCGGAGTCACTGGGCTGGGATCAGTCTGAGGCACTAGGAAGAGGAGGTGGGAGAGAAGGGAGGGACACGGGTCAAAAGAGAAGAAGAAATTCATCTCCTCCCTGGGAATGCTGTGTGAGGCTGTGCAGGCTGTTCACTGCACAAAGGTGCATGGTGAAGGCAGCACTGAGGGACTGAAATCCAGCCAGCACTCTGCTTGCCAAGCTGTGCACCCTGGCAAGCGGCTATGCCCACCTAAAAGAACATGTGGTTTATTTGACGTGGCATGAAAGCACTGTCTTAACTGTTGTTGTTTAGTTGCTAAGTCGTGTCTGACTCTTTGCCACTCCATGGACCGTAGCCCGCCAGGCTCCTCTGTCCATGGAATTCTCCAGGCAAGAATACTGGAGTGGTTTGCCATGCCCTCCTCCAGGGGATCTTCCCAACCCAGGCATCGAACCTGAACCTCCTGCACTGGCAGGGAGATTCTTTACCGCTGAGTCACCAGGAAGGCCCGCCGTACGGACTAGTGTGGCCTTCACTTATTCCGCAGCCTGGAGAGGGGCTTCAGAGAGAAGGAAGCGCAGTGAGCCCCTTCCACATCTCCACAGCCAGGGAAGTCTTCCAGGACAGCCTCCACTGCTTCCAGACCTAATGATGAGCTGATTTCCTCTCCAAGAGAGGGACGCATGGTCCTTGGAGCATTTTCATGTGGGAAAGCCCCCCACAACTGTGCTCTGGGCCCCACTTCATCCGCTCCCACTCTCACTCCATCAGCTGTGCCCTCAGGATTTACGCAAACTCTTCCACTCGGCTGCATCGCTCTCCAGCCTCCACCCTCCCTCTTCGGTCTCCACTCCAGCCCAGATTCCAGACAGAGATGCTTGTACTCATGTCCTCACCTTCATTGCCCTCCCAACCCAGCCCTGCCCTCCACCAGCAGCTCCCACCAGGGTCAGTGGTGACCTCGCCATAGCTAAGTCCTGTGGACACTCCGCAACCCTGAGTCACTCTTACGGAATCTGACATGTCTGACCGCGCCCTTCATTTTGGCATTCCTCTCCCCAGTTCACCCCTCAGGCTGCCCTGCAGGCGCTCGATCCTCTGTTCGTGCCATGAGTGATGGCCACCTCCAGGGTCCCAGGGACCATGTCCCTTCTCTCTGCCTCCCCACCCTGGCTTATGGCCACTGAGACACCCATGCTCCGTCCTCAGGCCTTTTCTCTGCTCTCCGGTCCCAGGAGGGCAGTGGGAGAGCGCCATGGCCCCCTCACTTTCTGCCTGAGTGGCCTTGCCCACTCTGTGCTGCCCTTCTCATCTGTGAAATGAGCATGCCTCAGGGCTGCTTGTGAGGATTAAGTGTGATCATTCACTTAGAACATCTTGAACACATCTGACACTTAAACGCTCAAAAGACGTTTGACTAAGTGTTGCTGCACTGTTGCACCGTTCCTCACATCCGCTGTTCCTTGCCTCAAGGAACAGGACTGCCGGATCCAGAAGTGTGGGGTGCCTGGGCCTCCTCGCTCTTCTTCACCCCACCCATCCCCAGCCTCACTGCCACCATCCCCGCCAGGACAGCATCCTCCCTTGCTGGTTCCTAACTCACTTCTCCAGCTGTCCTCTGCAGCAGCTTCAGAGCTATTTGTAAGATAAATATTGAATCAGGTCACTCTCTCACTTAAAGCCCTTCAGAGGCCCCCTAGGGTCCTCAGATGAGGCCTAAGTGACTCACTCAGACACTGGAGATCAGTGAGATCAGTGTCCTCAGCCCCCAGGTGCCCTGCCCTGCTATCCAGAGGACAGACTTTGATTCTCTTGCAGGGCCACTCTCACTCCTGCCTCACTCTTCACAGCTCCCTCTGTTGGCACTGCCCTCCTCAATCTCCCTGCCTGACCCACCACAATTTTCCCTTTAGGATTCAGCTCAGGCACCACCGCCTCCAGGAAGACTTCCGGGAGTTCCCAAAGCACTGGGGAGGCCTTCATCGGGACCGCGCAGAGGGTAGGGGCAGGGTCCTGGATGACCCTTGTCACTCACAGATCTTGGCTTCAGCCACCAGGGGGCCATGCCTCTTCTTGCCCACGAGCCCGTACAGGACAAATTTGTACTTGCGGCCGACGTCCAGGTTGGAGATGAGGGCTGTGCGCTGGGGCCCCTCTATAGGCACCACCTGGGGCCTGTCCCTGTCTTTGTACTGGATCACGAAGGAATCGAACTCGCCCTCAGGGACTGTCCAGTGCAGAAGCAGGGAGTCGGAGGTCACGTCCGTCACTGTCAGCTTGCCCAGGCGAGGTGGGGCCAAGGGCTTCCCAGGTTTCTCCCCATCCTTGTCTGGAGTTGGGGGGGGGGTGCAAAAACAAAGCACGTGGGCTCAAGCACTGTCTTGTCCCTGCTCTTCGTCCCTCTCCTCTGCCCCCTGGCTCCCTTCATGCTGGATGCCTCCCTCCCTTGATGCCTGCATTCCCTGCCCTCAGTTCTCTGGGACCAGCCTTTCTAAGAAGGGGGGCATTTCTCCCCATTGTCTACTCTGGAGCAAGAGCTTCCACTCTTCCCTATGATAACTTCCTCCCCACTCACAAAGGTCCCAGGCCCTCTACACACCAACACTCTGAGGGAGTTTCGTGTCCCCCGAGGTTCTTCCTGAGAGTTCTGAACCCTCGCTGCTTCAGAGCAGCCTGGAGATGCCTTAGTCCACCAGAACGTCTCTCTCCCTCACCACCCTCTCCCCAGCGGTGAGGTTGATCTGGAGTTGCAGGGAGAGCTGGCTACCCGAGTCCCATAAAGGGGGACCAGGAGAAACTGTGAATGCCAGGAGCCCCAGGCTCCTGCCGGGTTCCACAAACCTCATCCATCTCTGAATCCCGATGGCCGTGGAGCACCCTCCCCAGGGAAACTCCACCCCTAGCGGGAACTGGCTGATGGGACCATGGGGCACTGCAGACCAGGCTTGCAGGGCGGGGGGACAAGGTGTCCTAGTTTGTTCAGTGAGGGGATGGCAGGGGCTTGAGAGAAGGGAAAAGGAGGGGATCAGTATCCTAGGGGCCAGAGGCCTTCCCACACCCACCCTGAGAGACACAGGGGGCGGAGAGGGCAGAGGAGTGACCAGGAAGCGGGGGCAGGACACTTCTACACAAAGAAAGCTGCAAATGGAGAGATAGGGGCTGACAGTCTCTCTCCCTGAATCTTTGTCCCATGCTTTGACTTTTCTCCTCTCACCTATTTATCTGGAAGGACTCCCCTTGCGATCCACCCTTTCGTTGGGCTAAGACCTTCCCTATCCCTCTTGCCTCTGAGCCCTCAACTCCTTTTCTCTCCTTGTTTCTTCTAGTGGCTCGACCCAAACACCAGCCCCGTCCTTCAGTCTCCACCCCACCCCTGAAGTCCTAATGGCCCAGCCCCTCCCTGAGCCTCAGGACACTGGACTTGAGCAGAGTCCAGGATGTACCCATAATGCCTTGGTAGATGAGAGGGGCAGAGGGCTCGCCGCTGGGAGGGATCCCACGAAGTGACAGCTCATAGGGGGATTCAGCAGGGGGTGAGGGCACCAGAGCCTGACGGACATCCCCTGGCAGCAGCTCCTCATGGGCCCCTGGCCCTTCGGGCACCCGTAGGCGCAGCTGGAAGTGGGTAAAGGTGTCAGGCTGGGCGGTCCAGGCCACTCGGAGGCGCCCTGTCTTGTCTTTGCCCAGCACCCTCAACTCGGCCAGCTCCTGGGGGCGCTGCTGCAGGACCGGGGCCTGAACCCCTTGAGTCGTTGAAGGGCCTGAGGGAGGAGGCTCATCAGTGGCCCCCAAGAGGCCTGAGGGGGAGGACCCTGGGGAGAGGCAGGGCAAGAAAAACAGGAGAGTCGCGTATGAGAGCCAGAAAGGAGACCGAAGTCCCCAGGTTCTGCTCTCTGGCCTCTGAGAGTCTTCAGACTTCCCCTTGGTCGCTCCTGGATCACCCCCTGGGTCACCTCAATGTCCCAAACATCCATTATAGCCCTGCACAGACGAGCCTGCAGGTCATAAACAGAAGAACTAAGTCTGCCATCCCTCCTCCCACAAGGTTCCTAGCTCCCTCCCCACAGGAGACCCTCCCCACTGGGTGGTGGTCCTGGCTTCCATTAGTGCTGCAGTGAGAAGCCTGGAAGAAAGGAGAAGACGGTGGTGTTAAGGAAGGCAGACTCAAGAGACAGTGGGCAGTCAGGAGAGAGACAGGAGTGGACATCCAGCTCCGGTGACATCTGGGCCCTATGGGGGAAGAAGAGGTCCATAACCCCTCCCCCTGACAGCCACAGGGCGCCCCCTCCCCGAGCCAGGACTCCGTTCCTGTGGGAGAGACAAGCGTGAACTGAGCCAGGAGGTCTGGAAAGGCAGCCCAAGAAGCAGTGGCTTCACCTCTCACCTACCCATGCTGCCTAACGGTTTCAAGGCCACCCCCAAGCAGTTCCGATGCGGCCCTTTGAGGTTAGGGCCAAAGTATGGAAAATAGTAACCACTGACCACAGCTGTCAGTTACCCTCACCACAGTGAGTCACAGTGGGAAACCACTGGTTTCACTCCCTACCCCACCCAAATTGCTCCAGAGAATCTTTGAGGACACTGTCCCTCCCATCAAATGACCCTTCTATTGCCTAGAACAGGATTCCTGGCAGAAGTGTCCTAAGAACCCAAGTGAAAATCAGACAATTCCAAAGACCAGGTCTCCTTGGTCTCGGGTATCCACCAGGATCCTGAGGGTGTGGGGGTTTCCAGGGACACAAGAAGGTGTGGGGATGCCCCGGAGCCAGAACCAGGAAGGGCTGCAAGGCAGAAGGGCACAGGTGGCGGAGCGGCCGCCTGAGCAGTGAGGCAGTGGGAGGCGCTCAGAGACTCCGACGGCAGGTGAGACTGGGCAGGGGGTGGGGGGTCGCGCGGCCCCACCCACGCTACCTGTGGTGGTGATGAAGGCGTAGGACTTGGAGGTCTGCCCTGCCCGCACCCCGTGGACCTCCACGTGGTAGGTGGTGCCGGGCTTGAGATCGGGCAGACTGACGGTGCGCCCGGTGCCCGGCACGGTCAGCTCCCCAGCGGGCCCCTCCGCGGGCGGCTGCGGCCGCCAGCGCAGCACCACGCGTTCGAAGTGGCCGCGGAGCCCGTCGAGCGACACGAGGAGCGCTCCGTCGGCGGAAGTGCCCAGCACCTCGGGCTTGGGGTGGCGGGGCGCCGCCACCCGGTCGACGCCTTCGGGGGAGAGGCCGTAGATGCCCTGGTTGGAGTCCCGCTTCCAGGTGCCCGAGTCGGGGCTGGCGGTGGGGTAGGGGCGACCGGGCGGGGGTGCAGGGGAGCGACGCCGCTGCAAGTATTCGTGGATGTGGTGCGCCACCGACGTGTAGGTCTGGTTGGCTCGCAGTGGGTAGCCTTGAGCCCGCAGGTGACGCTCCAGGTCCTGCACTGTGCCGCGGAAGCGGCCCAGCTCGGCCGTCAGGTTGCCCCACGCCCGCCGAGGGGGCTGGGGCGGGCTCGGCCGCGGCGGAGACTCCGCCTCCCCCTGCTCCGCAGGCCTCCAGGGATGCGCCTCCGGGTAACTGTAGTGGCCTGGTGCTGCCGGGGGCGGAAAAAGGGGGAGGAGAGAGCCGGTCAGTGGCAGCAACCCCCACCACCAGCCCCTGCACTCCCCCCACGGCAGCCCCGCCCGCGTCCCTCCCACCCCACCTGCAAAGAGAACCGAGAGAAGTTAGTGCCCCAGGACGCCCTCCCGCTTCGCCCTCCAAGCCCGCCACTGTTGGTGCCCTAGAAAGAAGAAACGAGCGGGTGGGGCCCTGCGTCTGAAGGAGAGAAAGGGGCGTGGGAGGAGAGAACGCGAGCGACAGCGAGGTGGGCGTCCCTCTGTCACAGGAAAGGGAAAGAAAGATCCAGGCATCTGTTAAGAGACTTGGGGGGTTAGTGGAAAATTACTGCTGAGACCTAACTCCCCCAAACCCCGATTCTAAAGTCAACAGGCGGCTTGATCTCTAATCTCCCCAGCTCCAGTCCCAGGAGACCTGACCACTGAGATGGAGCACAGGGGGGTCCCTGTGCCCAAGTTCAGATCAGAACCACCCCTATCTGGTTGGGCCCGGCAGCATCTTCTATATACTGCTTCTCTCCATGAGGCTGCTCTTCCCAAACTCCAACCCACCGCCTTCCTACAGGACTCCAAGCACCTGAGAACTCCATCTCGTCAGAGCCCCTGGTACAGAGCAGGGCCAGCAGCAGGTGCTTTGGGACTGCCACACACCCCGTGCTGTGCATTCGGAAGAGCCCATGAGCCGGACACACGGCTTCCCAAGGAAGTGGCTCCTGGGCTGAGAAACTTCCCCAGCCCGTGGCCAGCCATACCTGTGTTGGCTCTGATGGAAGCTGGGTAGCTTACTGCCCGGCCCCGCTCAGCAGTGACGGTCACCACGTATTCTACACCTGGCATCAGGCCGGTCAGCAGCGTCCCGTCTGCCTCAGAGGGCACTTCCAGCCGCACCCTCTGGTTGCCAGCACTGACGTAGGACACCACAAACCGGTCCACTTCAGCCTGGGGGCGCAGCCAGTTGAGCTCCAGGGTGGTTGGTGTCACAGCCACCACGCGGAGGTCCTGGGGACCGTCAATCACTAGCCAGGTCAGAGAGAGGAGGCATTAGGTGTGAGTCTGGTTCTTCGGTCACCAGCTGTCCTGCTAAGAGCCTTGCCCCCAGCCAGTCCCTCCCCTCTGCCCTCTTAGAGGGCATATCCCAGCCCCTCCTTCTCAAATCCATTCTCCACCCATGACCGTCCCCATCCCCCCACAACAGCCCCAGCTCTCACTGGTGGTGATGGTCTTGGAGGCAGGAGGGCCCCAGCTAGTCCCTCGAAGGGCACGGACAGTGACCTGGTACTCCTGACCAGGGGCTAATCCTCTCTGGTCATAGGCTGAGGCAGAGCTGGGCACCCGTGCTGTGAATGGGGGGCTCGCCCCCTCTGTCTGCAAGAGAGAAAGTACTGGGTGGATCAGGGCTGCCACTCACCCCTGCTGCTCAATGCCCCTGATCCCTTCTTTCTCCAAGGTCTAGGCAGAGTCAGCATGAGATTGTGTAGATCTTGGCCCTATACAGCTGGGGAGCATGGGTGGTATCAGCAAACACATCTAAAACACCTACTCCATGCCAGCTCCCGTTCAAGGCAATTTACATATGTAAACTCACTTAATTCTCTTAAGAATCTAATGAGGTAGGTCAGGTTATTCCCATTGGACAGATGAGGAAACTGATGTACAAAAGGATTAAGTGGCTTGCCCAAGGAGGCAGGGATTTAAACCCAGGCAGTGTGACCTCAGAGTCCCCTCTTATGGGGACTACCTTTAAAAAAAATATTTATTTACTTATTTGACTGCTTTGGCTCTTAGTTGTAGAATGAGGACCTAGCCTTGAGGCATGTGGGATCTTAGTTCCCTGACCAGAGACTGAACCCAAGTCCCCTGCATTGGAAGGCAGATTCTTAATCACTGGAAGAAGACCAGGGAAGTCCCTGGGCACTACCTTTTGAGCCTGTTCATCAGCTGTCTGCCAGAATTCTACCTGACACATGCCAGGACTCTCTCTCTGGCTTTTCCCTGGCAATCCTGACCCTCTGGGCATGAGGAGGCTTCTCATAAACCTGTTCCTGTCATAACAGGTGAAGCAGATCAGGGACAAGTCTCACTTCCTCTTTGAGGCAGCTGCCCCAGCCTAAGCCTTCCCCTAGACACCTGCCCCTGGCCGTGTAACTTGGGTGTGACCCACATCGTGACATTTCCTTTTAGGTACTTTCCTTGTCTTTTCAGCAGGGTTGTAGGCCCTTCAAAAACAAGGCCCACCTGCTCAAAGTTCCACAAATATGTTTCCTGAATTTGTACCTGGCATCATTCTGGGCCCTGAAGACACAAAAATAAGAGATATGATCCCTGTCCTCAGAGAGCTCATGCTCTAGTAGCTAAATGTGTGGCCACGCTTTACGTTTTATTAGATCCTTAACCCAAATCTCTATGTGTAGTCCATGCCTGTGAAAGAACAAACCCCCTTCAAGTACACATGTAAAGTTATGATTATTTGCAGGAACCCCACAGAAATTCTGCCAGCCCCTGCTCCAGGCAGGGTCTCCTGGAGTGTCAGCCTCTGGGGAAATGGAAGGAATGGACATCTGGGAACAGCGCAGCATTTCGCTGGGCCGTCTAGCTAGAACAGCTAATAAGGACGCTCTGTTCTGCTTTGCTATGTTGGCTGTGATGGGGACACCTTCATTCAGCCAAGTAGGATTGGAAATTTCAAAAGGTACTCTCCTAAACCAAGAGAACTGCGAGGAAATCAACACAGTAAATACCAAAGTATAAAACCAGATGAAAGGCCACGTAGAGACTTCTGGGTTGAGGATGAAGTGAAGCTTTGTTAGAGTTTTCTTGGCTGAAAAGGTTTTCTGGGCATGCAGGATCTTCATCCCTCTCTTACTCACTGCCCTAGAATACCCCAGCCTGGGAGGCCTTGGATGGGCATCTACTCAAGACCTATGAGGGCTTTATTCTTCCCCAAACCTTCTCTCTCTCTCTCCCCTTAGTCCCCCAACCTATCATCACCAACACACACACACACACACACACACACACACACACACACACACCCCTTGAGTGCTTCCTGATGATGTCTGGTCCTTCCTGGGAGATAAGCCTGTCCCAGAGTTCACCTTCTCCCTTCAGGTCACCTACATGAACCTTTTAGACACTTTGAGATCCATCTGGGAACAGTCCCCTGAGAAGTCTTACTGCCAGTCTAACCCACATCTCTCAGCACCATCTGGCTGGTCTGAGGCTGGCTCTCTAACCAGAGGCTGGCAGCTGATTTGGCCCCTTCATGATGGTTTGGCTGCTTCACTGCTGTCCTTGGCAAGTTTCTAACTCTATTCTCAATATTAACCTCATGGCCCCAGGTGAAGGGCTCCACCTTGGCTGGCCCCTGAAGCTCACCTCACCCTCATCCTCCTTTTCAGACCAGAATCGAACACAAACTTTTCTGAGGCTGCAAGGTCCCAATGAAAATGTGACATAGCCCCAGTTTCCAGCCTGTGGAATACATCTAAACCGGAAACACCTGCATGTCTTTCTGTTTGGGGGTTTACCTCCCTCAGTTTCTTCAAGCTTTGTCTCACATTCATAGAAGACCTTGCCTTTTGCAAAATAGCATCATTCCTTGGACAAAAGAGCAGTGGTCCTTGGACTTGGGGTGCATTAGAATCACCCGGGGGTATGTTCTGATGCAGGTTACTGGGCTCTTCCCCTAGAGCTTCTCATTCAGCAGATTGGGGGGCAGAGTCTGACAGTTTGCATGGCTAATGCTCCAGCTGGTGCTAATGCTGCAGGTCCAGGGAGCACACTTTGAGAACCACTGAGTGTAGCCATGCCACGTATGCAGGGAAAAGAGGAATGTTCCTCTTCTGTGTTCTGAAAATCATTCCAATAACTAGGTGTGTCCCTTGGCCAGGAATAGCAGAGTTTGAGCTCTGAGAGAAAAGTGTTTCTGGAAAAGGGGAGAGGATAAGGTAGAGAGAGAGGCTTCTAGGAAGATGGCAGTGGCCAGAGGGATAGCCAGCTACTGAATGCACTCTGTGCCAACAGAAATGGATAGAGAGTGCTGGCCAAAGGCAAGAGGCACATTCCCAGGGGCCAGCCACAAAAAAGCATAGAAAACATAGTCAGAGGGCCAGCGGCACAGGCTGATGTGGAGTCCAAGGGAGGTGTCTGGGGACCAATTTTACGGGAGCATTTTCCACACCCAGGCTCAGGGACAAACTAGAATGTCACGGAGGCCCATACCCAGCGCAAAGCAGATGAGCTGAGATCGTGGCCAAGCTGGACATAGGCTTGCTCGATCCCTCCTGGCCCCACAAAGAGGGAGAAAGCCCAGGGCTCCTCCTGGGAGACTTCGCCTCTAGAGAACACCAAGGATGAGGTCATCTTTACTAAGAGCAGGAGATGCTGTTGCCCTTTAAGCTCCTTCTAGCTCAGTTGTTTATTTCAATTCTTTCCCTAAAGTTTCTTAGGAAAATTCCTGTTAAAAGTCCTACCCTCTCAAGATTGGAACTATGTAAATAATATACACGCAGAAGAGAGTGGGAGAAACACTTTAAAATGTTAACAGTACTTGTTTCAGTATGAAACAGCCAAGAATTATTTGTTTTTTTCCCTAGTCGCCAAATTCTTGTCTTGTGATTACATTATTTTTATAACTGAAAAAAAAAATGTAAATGGAATAAAGAAATCCAGGCTCCCTTGGTTGTGAAGCAAAGAAGGGATTTCTGCCTCTGCTTCTACCAGAGGGCAAGGAGAGATAAAACATGATAGGGGCCTGGGATTGAGGTGATAATATTGATAAGGAGACTTAGAATGACTAGGCCAGTTGGGGTGGGGATGACAGCCAGCACCTCAGAGCTATCTCTTCTGTCCTAGAGGCTTCCTAAGTTTAAGCCCTGGAACTTATTTATTTTTCCAGAGTCCTGACTGGGTAGAGATTAGGGTAACATGGCCTACCTACCTATGGCATTTGTGGAATGATGCAGGAAAACATATTTGAATGGGAGAAATGTCAGATGATTTGCAGCTAGGAGACCAAACACATCATAAAAACCCAATCTGCATAAAGGGAGATCTCTAATGAGAGGCCACAAACTTTGTCCTTAGGGTGCCCCCAAATATTTTAAGAGTGAGTTGGAAGGAGATAGAGAAAGGAGGCTTTGCAATGCACTGATGACATGGAGGCTAGGGAACTAATTCACAGACTCAAATTATTGCAACAGCCTAGACAGCTTGGCCCAAACCAAAAAATGATAACACAGAACAGAGCCAAATGCAAAGGCTTATATTTAGGCTTAAAAGGGGGTATGTAGTTGAATGTCTTCTTTTTTCCTTCCTTCTTCCTTTTTTCCTTGTTTATATTTTCTAGTCTCTATATGACTTTTGTAATAAAAAGTTACTTTAAAAATCAAATGTGATCAAAATAACTAATAGTTTGTGTGACTGCAAGTTCATATATGTCAACTCTGAGAAAAGTAGCAGGGTATCCAGAGTTAGCCAGGTGAGTGACTGGACTCCTTTCTGCCCCTGTAATTGGAGGGAAGAGGCACATGCAAAAAGCAGGAGGCATCAGAGGAAGAAAACCAAGAAGTGAAGGATTCAGAGAACAAAGCCTCAAAGAAATGGGGAGAAAAAACCAGTGGGTTTGGCCTGGAGGGAATGAATGGTGATGTGATGGCGTGTTCATTTGCTTCAGTGGTGTACAACTCTTTGTGACCTCATGGACTGTAGCCCACCAGGCTCTTCTGCCCATGGAATTTTCCAGGCAAGAATTGTGGAGTGGGTTGCCATGCCCTTCTCCAAGGGATCTTCCTGACCCAGAGATGAAACCCGTAACTCCTGCATTGGCAGGCATTTTCTTTACCACTGAGCCACCAAGCAGGCCCAACATGATGGCTAATGTCTCCAAATATCTAAAAGTCCATGGTGTAAGGTGGAGGGAAAGGAAAAAACACATTCCAATGCTGGTGAAGGTCCAGCTGGGGCCACTGAATGGATGTATGAATGGGGCAACTTTGGATTCAGCAACAACAGAAAGAAGTGACTTCAGTGATGAGCAAAAATGGAGTCAGCAGGCAGCCTTAGGAAGTACTGAGCTCAAGGTCACCAGAGGAGTTCCAGCAGCAGTGGGCCAATGATGCAAAGGCCTTCTGCACCCAATGTAGGCAGAATGCAAAGGTCTTTAGCACAGCTTCCGGAATCAGCTACCTGGACTCAACCACTGATTACCTGGAACTCCTTTTGAGGTGAGCACCCCCACTGCCAGCCCCACTCACTCAGCCCCTTCTTGGAGCTTTGCTCTCACCGTTGGGATGAACTGGATTTCGTAGGCATCCACATTGCCAGGAGCCCGGGTCCACTCTGTCCGAACCGTCGTCTCCTCCAGCAGGTGCATCCTCATGCCCTCAATGGCCGGCACCTCTGCCCAGGAGAGTGGGATATGAGAAGCTGCTTAGCCCAAGGCAGCTTCCCACCCCTACCCCCACTCTCACAAACTCTTCCTACTCAGGATCATATTAAGAGAATCAACCAAGTTCCCACTCCTCTCTGAGGGGAGAGAGGGGTGGCGAGGAAAAGCCAGCAGTGGCCTGAACAGGCCTTGGGTTTCCTTCACTGCCCTCTATCTCCAGGAACCAAAATCTCCCGAAAAATAACTGAAGAGGGCCCCCGGATCTGCTCATCAGAGATCTTACAGCAGGTCCTACCTGCAGGCATGCCCCCCCACCACACCCTGGTTCTGCAGCCCTGGTGGACCCTGGCCCTCTGGCTTCTCTGATTGCCCCACCAGCTGCCCCAATATATGACCACCTCCATCATCCTGCCTCCAAGTTGCGGGGCTCCTATGCCTCAGACTCAGGTTTTCTCATGGGGCTCCGGTTTTCCAGCCCAGGACCCAGCACACTGAGGCAGGCTGTCCGCTCACCTTCCCCGCAGTCCTCCCCTGCATAGCCGTCTTGGCAGACACAGCTGCCCTCACGACACTCTCCCCGGCCACGGCAGTCCCCGGGGCACGTCTGGATGGCGCAGTCGGGGCCCCGGAAGCCCTCGACGCAGACGCACTGGCCTGCGCGGCACAGTTCCCGCGGCCCGCAGCCCCCGGGGCAGGCGCTGGCAGGAGGCTCTTCCTGCCCACAGTCCTCGCCGCTGTAGCCCAGGTGGCACACGCACATGCCCTGCACACAGCGACCATGGCCCCGGCAGTCGGCCGGGCAGGTGCGGGTGGCGCAGGAGGGGCCTGTGTAGCCTGAGTCGCACACGCAGCGCCCGTTCTCGCAGCGACCGCGCCGGTTACAGTTGGCGGGGCAGACACGGAGGCCACAGTCCTCGCCCGCGAAGCCCTCCCAACAGGTGCACACACCGTCCTGGCACACGCCGCGCTGGTTGCAGTCGCGCGGGCACCGTCTTACGCCGCAGTCCTCACCCTCGTAGCCGTCGTCGCACACGCAGCGCCCCTCCAGGCATTGGCCGCGGCCTTGGCAACCCCTGGGGCAGCTGCGCGTGCCGCAGTCTTCGCCCTCGTAGCCCACGTCGCACGAGCACACGCCATCTTCGCAGCGGCCGCGACCGCGACAGTCCCCGGGACACCGACGGTTCCCGCAGTCCTCTCCTGCGAAGCCCGGGTTGCACACGCAGCGGCCGTCTACGCAGCGCCCGCGCCCGCGACAGTCGCCAGGGCAGGCGCGCATACCGCAGTCCCGGCCTGTGTACCCGGGCCAACACACGCAGCGGCCACTCTCGCAACGGCCCCGGCCGCGACAGTCCCCGGGACAGCTGCGCACGCCGCAGTCCTCGCCACTGTAGCCCGCGTGGCACACGCATACGCCGTTCTCGCAGCGCCCGCGGCCCCGACAGTCGCGCGGGCAGGCACGCGCTCCGCAGTCGGGCCCCGAGTACCCAGGCCAGCATACGCAGCGGCCGTCCTCGCAGCGGCCCCTTTGGTTGCAGTCGCCTGGGCAGCTGCGCACGCCGCAGTCGTCCCCGCTGTAGCCCGGGTCGCAGATGCATTCGCCATCCTCGCAACGCCCTCGGCCCCGACAGTCGCGGGGACAGGTCCGCGTGCTGCAGTCCTCGCCCGCGTACCCGGGCCAGCACACGCAGCGGCCGTCCACACAGCGTCCGCCCTCTCCACAGTCCCACGGGCAGGTCCGCGAGCCGCAGTCGTCGCCAGCGTAGCCCGGGTCACAGACGCAGCGCCCATCCTCGCAGCGCCCCTTCTGGCTGCAGCCTCGGGGACAGCTCCTTACCCCACAGTCGTCGCCAGTGTAACCGGGGTTGCACACGCAGCGCCCATTCTCGCAGCGTCCTCTCTGGCTGCAGTCTCGGGGGCAGCTCCTCACCCCACAGTCCTCGCCACTGTAGCCTGGATTGCACACGCAGCGCCCGTCCTCGCAGCGTCCCCTCTGGCTGCAGCCGCGAGGGCAGGAGCGCACACTGCAGTCGTCCCCGGAGAAGCCCGCGCGGCACACGCACACGCCCTGCACGCAGCGTCCGCGGCCGTGGCAGTCCCCCGGGCAGGAGGGCCAGCTACAACTGGGCCCGGTGTAGCCAGGGAAGCACACGCAGCGACCACGGACGCAGCGACCCTGATCATTGCAGTCGTCCGGGCAGGAACTGGGGGCGGAGGGTGGCGAGGAGGGGGGTCCCTCGGCACTTGCGGGGTCCGAGCAGGTGGGCCCACCCCAGCCTGGCTCGCAGGAGCAGGCACAGCGGCTCAGGTCAAACACACCATGGAGACTGCAGAGGCTTCGAATGTCGGTCTGGCCTGGAGTAGGAGCGAGAGCTGGGTCTCAGTCTCACTAGGGAGGAGAGGCTGAGCATGTGTAGTGCTGCTCTGAGTCAGCTTCCCCATCAGGGAAGCCTCATTTCCTAAGGCCATTTTATTTTTTATTTATTTTTTTCCTAAGGCCATTTTAGTTTCCAGCTGTAACTTATCACCCAGGGCCCTAACATTCGCTGGGGAGGGCTGACATCTAGTCACATGGCTCCTCTCAAAGTCGTGCCCTGGGCTGCACTCACCACTTGCAAAGGGGAGGCGGGGTGCCTTTCCTAATTCACACCAAGTTTCTCCAGTGATGCCCACCCAGCCCTAATCCACTTCCCTTCTTTTCTGTGCTCCTTCCTGTGATCATCGGCTCACCTGTGCCAGCCTGGGCAGCTGGAGGACAACAGCCCCCAATGCACTGTTCCTTGAGCCCCTTCACCAGCTCCTCCAGGATCTCCAGTCGGACCCTCAAGGCCTGCACCTCTGAAGCAGGGACAGGGGGCTCAGTGCCTGGGGGACAGCCACAGCCAGCTGAAGGGGGCAGGTTAATGCGGTGGGTGAACACCACCTGCTTCTCCCCTCCTTCCACGGTGTGCTCGTAGAGCCGAGAAGAAGGGCCTCCCCCTTCTGGCTGCACTGTACGGCCCCCCGGCTGGGGAGGGGGCCGTGGGGCTGGAAGTGTCACATTGGACCGTGGAGAGAAAGGGCCTGCTGTGACAGTGCCCAGCAGCATCAGAAGGGCCAGGTTGGAGGTTAGGGAACATTGGGTGGGCATCTTTCCGGAGGCTGTGGGGAGAGAGGGCACATATGAGAGCAGCTTCACAGAGCAGACAAGATGAATGTCCCCTTCCCCAACACACACACCCACAGTCCCACCACCCACAGCTCATCTACCCAACTCACGTGTTTGCAAAAATCCACATTCAGCTCAATCCTACCATAGACCCTCCCTGGGCAGATCTGTCTCTACCTTGCTTTCTGATATCATTTGGTCACCCTGCTCTCCCACTCCTTATTTTATTTATTTTTTTACTGTTCCATCCACACTGGTCTTTTTTGTTTGTTCCACAGACACTATAAGCTTACATTAACCTAAGGGCCTTTGCACTATATGTTTTCTCTGTCTGGGATGCTTTTCACTCAGCTCTTAGAGGTTGGCTCCTTCCTTTTCAAATCTTAACTCACATGTCATCGACTCCCAGAGGTCTTCCTTGTTGCCCGATTGGACCAGTCTTTCATCACACTTCATCGCAGTGTCCTGCTTATATTCTTCATGCCATTTATTGCTGCCTGAACTATCTGTTTGTGTGGCTACTTGATTATTATCTTTTCCCCACTACCAGAATGCGAATTCCATAAGAACAGGGACTTCATCTGTCTTGGTATTGCTGCATGCCTGTGCCTGGCACATGGGATGGGCACTATACAACATGGTTTTTGGTGGTTTTTGTTTGTTTGTTTGTTTGTTTTGGTGGCCATTCTGCACAGCTTATGGGATTTTAGTTCCCTGATCAGGGGTTGAACCCAGGCCCTCAGCAGTCAAAGTGCAGAGTCCTAACACTGAACAACCAGGGAATTCCCTATCCAACACATTTTTGTTGAATGGGTCAGTAGATGAATAGAAAAGACTAATCCTTCCATAAACAACTGGATCCCAGCTTCTAGTATCTTTTTAGAAACCTTAAGGTGTAGATTATCCTCTCTTTCTTTCATTTAGCCCCTCACTCTCAACCTCCCATCATCTTTCCATATAAGCTCAAAAAACTCCTGTTTTCTTTTTTTTTTCTTTAAATCCTCTTCCTCAGGACTTATATTACCAAATATCAAAATTTATTATGAAGGTGAAAGCATAGAGAACAGAACAGAAACAGACCCACACTTATGTGGTCACCTGATTAATGAAAAAGAGGGCCCTACAATTAAAAGGAGAATAAATTGTGATAAATGGTCCTGGGTCAGCTGAAGATCCACATGGGGAAAAAATATATCTCTACCCTACGTCCACATACAGAAATTAATTTGGAATGAGTATATAGATCTAATCGTGAAAGATAAAGCAATACCTTTCACAAAATATCTTAGAGGAAAAAACTATAGGAGAAAATCTTTATGACCATGAAATAAACAAAGATTTCTTAAAACCTAACCACAAAATTTACCATAAAAAATTTCACACAAAACTAAACCACAAAAAAGATATTGATACATTGGACCACATTAAATTGATGACTTCTGGTCATCAAAGGACACCACTAAGGGATTCCCCGGTGGCTCAGTAGTAAAGAATCCACCTGCCAGTGCAGGAGACAAGACTTCGATCCCTGGTCCAGGAAGATCCCACATGCCTCAGAGCAGCTAAGCCCCTGCACCACAGCTACTGAACCTGTGCCCTGGAGCCTGTGTTCTATGACAAGAGAAGCTACCGAAATGAGAAATCCACATGCCACAACTGGAGAGTAGCCCCCACTCGCTGCAACCAGAGAAAAGCCCACACAGCAGTGAAGACCCAGGGCCGCCAAAGATAAATAAATAAAATTATAAAAAAGATGCAATTAAGAGAAAAAGAAGGCAAGCCACAGAATGGGAGAAAATACTTGAGAAATGTCAGAATATATATATATATATGTATTATATATGGTGGAGAAATTGGGAGACAGTGCTTGAGAGTGAGAGAGAGGATTAAAATCTAAAGAATTCCTTCAAAACAAAAACAAACAAAAGGCAGGCAACCAGTTTTTTTTTCTAATTTGCAAAAAAAAAAAAAAAGTCTCTCTAGTAAAGAATATATCCAAAGGGCCGATAAATACATGAAAAATAAACAAATGCATGTGTAGAACAAAACCAGTAATCAGGGAAATGAAAATTAAAACCACAAGAGGATGCCATCAAATATCCATCAGAATGGCTAAAACTAACAGGGCTGTTGATGCTCAATATTGGCAAGAATGTGAGGCTACTGGAACTCTCATTTATTGCAAGTAGGGGCAGAAATTAGTGCAGCCACTTTGGAAAACTGATAGGCAGTTGCTACTAAGGCATACAGCCTATAACTTGGCAATTACACTTCTTGGTAAATACCCAACAGAAACGACGGCACGTATCCTCCAAAAGACATGACTGCATGTATCCTCTAAAAGACGGGTACAAGAATGTTCATGGGATTTTTTTCATATGAGCCTGAACTGGAAGCACCTCAAGTGTCCATTAATAGTAGAATGGATAAACATATTGGGGCATAGTCATACAATGGGATACTCTCCAGCAATGAAAAAACACCCTCCTTGGACTTGGTGGGTGATCCAGCGCTCAGGACTCAGTGCTTTCACTGCCAGGCCCTGGGTTCAGTCCCTGGTAGGGGAAGATCTGCAAGCTGGGCAGTGTAGCCAAAAATCAAACAAACAAACTCCCCCCGCCCCACCAAAAAAATAAACCTTCTTGTTACACACAGCAACATGGACAAAATTTGACACACATAATGCTAAGCAAAAGAAACAAGGCACACAAAAAAAGAACATTGTAAATGATGCTATGGATATGAAGTTGAAAAATAAACAGAACTAATAGAAGACAGGATAGAATTACTAGAAATATTTTGCACCTTTAACTGGGTGGTTAAACAAAGGTATGTATAATAAAAAATTAATTGAGCTATACACTTATGTGCATTTCACTATATGCATAAAATATACTTAAAATACAAAAATATACTTAAAAAAAATTCCCCAACCTCACACTCCCTCCAGCCACCACATATTTGTCTTCTCTACTTCATGGCCATAGTTGTCAAAAGATTTATCTGGACTTGTTCCTATCTCACATATCCCATGCATGTCTCAACCAGCTCCCATCTGACTTCACCTTTTTTCAGTCCACCAAATAGCCCTCCTTAAGGTCTCCCAATGATCTGTGTTACAAAATCTAAAAGTCGTTTGTCTTCACCTTGATTTCTCAAAATCACTGGACACTGATGACCATATCTTCCATTTTAGAGCATTCTATATCTGTGCTGGCGATAAGGTAGATAGGAGAGATCACTGGCTCTTTAACACTTAAAATGTGGCTAGAGGGACTGAAGCACCAGACTTTCTTTAGTATTTTTAACAGCTCCCTAGGGGATTGCAGTGTGTAGCCAGAGCTGTGACCTACGTGGGGTAGTCATTCACTCAGGTACCTTCATCCAGATCCCAGACTTTAACTTCCAAACTATATCCCAAAGTATAAACTATCTCCTCTTAACTCCAAGCAATATAGCTATCCTATTTAGTATCTCCTCTTGGGCACCTCAGATTCAACACATCTAGAGCAGAACTCAACATTCATCCCTCCGGTACCCCATCCCTTCTGTGTTCCCTACCGCAGCTCATGGTCCCATTGTTACTCAGTTTCACAAGCCAGAAACCCAACAACTCATTCAACACCACCATATTCCATCATATCAACCCATGTTTTATTGTAAATATCTCTTTAATTTGCTTATGTTTCTCCCTCTAAGCATCATTATAGTCCAAGCTACTATCTACCTTAACAACTGTGATTGCCTCCTAGCCGGTCCCTCTGTTTCTATTCTTGCTTCTTAAAAATCTTGCAAAGGCAAATAGAATGCCCCTCTCCCCCCAAAAAACTTTTCAGTGACTCCCCTCTGAATAGTTTTCAGATACTGACAGACAGTCCTGCATCATCTGGCCCCTGCTGACCTCTCCCACCTCATCCCACGTAAGACTTCCCTCCCTCTCTCCATTCCAGTCCCCTCGGTCTTATGTCCTCCACATTCTTCCCAGCCCCAGACCTTTGTATCTGTGGTCCCCTCTATGGAATGCTCTTCCCTTTTCTCTTGGCTTCCTCATCATTTGGGTCTCAACCCCACATCTCTTCCTCAGGAGCTTTCCTGTCCAGGTCAGCTCCCCTATCATGTGATATTACAGGATCATGTAACTCCCATTTGCAACATTTATAATAATTTATACTCACATATTTATTCATGGGATTATTTTATTACTTTCTTGCCCACACTCAACCTTGCCCACTAGACTGTAAGGTCAATGGAGGCAGACATATCACCTGGTTTTGTTTTGTTTTGGCTGCTATATCCTTACATCTGGTACATAGTAAGTGATCAAAATATATTTATTGACTATATAAATATTTAGTCAATTTACATAGTTCAAGTTAAGCCCAGGACTAGCACAGGGCTGGAACCAAGGACAGGACCAAGGTCAGGGGTAGGACCACGGACAGTGTCTGGAACTGAAAGTTGGTTAGAAACAGCAGCTGGGGCAGCTGTTGACCGGGGACCAGGCCAGGTGTAGATCCTGGCAGGGCCACGTGGTACAAGCCCATTGGAAAACCATTTGCCACAACTGACCAAATCCACTAGGGCTGTGTGCAAACTCTATGACATGGCAGCTCCACTCCGAGGGATCTACCCACCACAACAGTACTTCTCATAATAGCCTCAGACTGGGAACCACCCAAATGTCTCACATGAGTAGAATGGATTAAATAACACGTGGTTTGTTCACACAGTGGAATAAAATAAAGCAATGAGAGCGAAGTGTAACTATATGCAATAACAGGAATGGGTCTTGCTCATATAGGGTGGAGAAAAAGAAGTCAGACACAAAAAAGAATAAGCTGAAACATTCTGTTTATGTGACCTTTGAGTCTAGACCATGTTAACTGTCAATCAGTAGAGTTGCAAGTCAGAAATGTGGCACTCTTAGGGGAATGGGGACCAGAAGGGGCATGGTGGGGAAATTCTGGGGTGCTAAGAACATCCTGTTTCTTGATCTGAGTGCTGGTCACCCAGCTGTGTTTGTAGAATCCACTGAGGCAAGAACTGGGGGGCACAGGGAGACGAGGATTAGAGAAGAAAGGTAGTGGGGTGATGGGAACCAGGAGAGGGGGCCTCGGTAACAGAGGTGCGTGGAGGGTTCAGGCGAAGGGTTAAGGAGCGGTGTTAGCAGGCGCCCAGTTCTTCCAGACCAGAGAGGCTGGAGAGGGAAGGAGAGCAGGGTGAGTGGTGGAAATGCTGACTGAGGAGGAGGGTTAGGGGCTGTGACCAGTGCCTCCCACAACACACACACATTTCCTGGCTTCCTATGCTTAAAATTCTCCTCTGAGTCTGAGAAAAAGGAGTTTCCAGGGCTACCAGCCATCACACTCCACCACCATCCCATGAGGTGGAAGAGGAGCGGGCAACGGGAGCAGAGCGTTTCCACACTGAGAGGCACCCTACCCCACAAAGCCCAGCAGAGAGCCTGGCAAGCAGAGAGCTGCCCTTCCCTCAGCCCTTCTCTCAGCTTGGGGTGTAGCCCTGGGTGTGAGCTGTGCTCTGACTTACCTTCAAATTCTGTGGCCTGTGTCTAAGGTTGACACATCACCAGGTGCACACACACACAAATACACATACACATACAACTGTACTCATGTGCTTATCCACAAACACAAAGATGAACACACTTCTTGTATCTGTCCGTCCTAAGTCGCTTCAGTCATGTCACTCTTTGCAACCCTATGGACTGTAGCCCGCCAGACTCCTCTGTCCTTGGGATTCTCCAGGCAAGAATACTGGAGTAGGTTGCCATGCTGTCCTCCAGGGGATCTTCCCAACACAGGGATTGAACCCGTGTCTCTTACATCTCTTACACTGGCAGGTGGGTTTTTTACCTCTAGCACCACCTGGGAACTATACATATATTCATCCAAAGAAGCTTGCATCTTTGCAGGCGCACAGATTTGAGTATGTGCAGGGGTTTCCCAGCAGTAAAGAACCCACCTGCCAATGCAGGAGACTTGGGTTCGATCCCTGCCTAGGTTGGGAAGAGCCCCTGGAGTAGGAAATAGTAAGCCACTCCAGTATTCTTGCCTGGGAAATCTGATGGAGGGGAGCCTGGCAGGCTGCAGTCCATGGGGTCACAAAAGAGACACGACTTAAGTACTAAACAACAACAACAAAGGCATACACACACAAACTCCTCTTCACATTTCCTCCACATCCAGTCATTGAGTGATGTCTGAAAAAGTTGATTTCTCATTGGCTCAGAGGGCAGCTGTGTGAGTCAAAGAACTTAGTTGGAGTGAGGGGAACCACACAGGAGACCCTTCTCCAGAGGGGGCAGAGGTTACAGGGTGCTCCACACCCCTGGGGGTTTGGGGGAGCTGCCAGTCCCCCTCCCTCAAAAATCGAATCCTGCACCTCTCCCCACTTGGTGGGGGCAGGGGGAGGGTCTCTGCAGCAGGAAGGAAAGAAGCTTGTCTGAAACCAGGAAAGCAGGAAACTTGGGTGTCCCTTATGTTTCCCTCTCATCGCCCGTCCTCGGCATCGGGGGTGCCTGCGCGCAGCGGGGAAGGAGGGGAGCACGGGCCTCCCCCTCTTGGCACCCTTCCCATAGTCGGAGGGCTGGCAGGGCTGGGGCACCGTCCCAAGCGGTGACTCAGCGTGCAGGGTATTCATGTGGTGGCCAACTTTGACACTTCGCTCATCAGGGACTGTAGGTCCCAGGAGCTGGGGAGAGGGGCTGGCCTCCTGCAGGGATGCTCCAGAGGTGGGGGTTTTGGCCCCACCCCCATGCCTCTCTCCCTCCCTCATGCCACAACAAGAGTGAAGGTAGAAGGATTCTAGGGCTGCGAGGACAAGGAGGGAGGTGAGGGCGGGCTGCAGCCACTGGGTTAGAAGCAGGTGGCAAGGAGGTACCGGGAGATGGGGCAGTTGGAGGATCTAAGACACCCCTTATTCTGGGAAGTTCATGCGCCAGAGACGTGGGAAAATTAAAAGAAAGGATTTCCGGACCCCCCGTGGCAAAGAGTCCTGGGGAGGAGCACTGAGTGACCAGAACTCAAGGGAGAGAAAGTTGAGAAATTGAGGTGCTGGGTCCCCGGGGGGTCTGGAGGCAAGGCCAGGGAAAGAGAGGAACGGGGCTGAGGATCTGGGAAGTGGGCGGGGATTGGAAGCGGACAGGCAGCAGCTGCGGTGTTTCCGTGTTTCCGACTTGCTTCCCAGTAGTTCCTCTCAGTTCCATTTCCAGTTGTTTCCAAGCCATTAAATTCTTTCCAGGCGAGATAAGGGTCCCGCCCGTCCCACCCAGGGTGTGTCACGTGTAGGGGGGAGGTTCAGACGGACAGAAGCAGGAGAGCCTGGAAGGGGGATGGAGTGAAGACGGAGCCCCAGTGCCCCCCTGGAGGCATCGCGCGGTCATCCCAGCCCCGCTGAACCGTGAGTCATGGGTGCAAAGCTCTCTGCCAAGAATAAGTTTTAGGAGTCTCTCCACAGACTCCGTGCCCTTCCCGGACCTGGGAGTCCTAACTCTGCTCCATTGCTGCATTTCCTAAAGGCTCGAGACCCCCAGAACTCCCTCCTGAGCCTTGCCATCCACCTGCTGCCACCCGGGGTGTCCCCATCTGAATGCTCAAAGAAGTTCCCTCGGGCACGTTCCTGGAGTTCTGGCTCAGCCGCTCCAGCCAGATCACTTGGGGTTCCAGCAGCACTTCCCTCCTGAAGTTCAACTGGCCACCAGCTCAGCCTGGCCTCTGGCTTCTCCCAGCCCCAGCACCACACCGATAACCACCTCCACCTTGATGCCGCCCCTGGTCCTGTCCAAACCCCAGCATCCATCCTCCGTGCCCAACTCACACACACCTGCACTGACTTTCTCACAGACACACCCTCCACGGGGAGTCCGGTCCTGTGCATGGTCTTATTTCCTCTGCCTCCAGAGAAAGTCCCTGTTCTCCTGGGAGGCTCTCCTGCCAACCTTTATCTGGGGTTTGGGGATAGAGGTCCCCGCCTCTCCCGGCTCTTTCCTCTGTCTCCCAGAGACGGAGGTTACTTCCTTACCTGGGTAACCAGCAGCTTCAGTGTGTCTGCACCTGCTCTGTTCCGGACTTGGGAAGGGGGTTCTCAGGGCAGGGTGGGTGGGCGCCCCTTGGCAGCGCTGAGCTCCTGGGTATCCCCGTGCTCAGTTCCCTGCAGCAGGGGCTCAGTGAGCCAAGACCCGACTGTCGGTCTGGGCAGCGACAGTGAGGAGGAGGGATATTGCAGCCAGCCGGGGGAGGAGAAGGGGAGGGCCGGCATGAGGTCAGGGAGGGGAGCGGAGACCACCATACCCTCATCTCACCCCTCCAGCCCTCATCCAACCTCCCCCATCCTTTCCTTATCCCATTTTTATTCTTCCTCCTCACCCTAATTTGTGTCCAGTTTGACACCTCTATCCCTCATGTCATGTATCCTTTTCCCCACCATTTCTCCACCTGTTGCTCCTGCTGTCTGGCCTGTTTCCCCCTCTTCCAGCACCCCTTCCCACGGCCAGCCCCTCTCTCTCCTGGGGACCTCCCCCACCTCTTCCCAGCTGCCACATCCCTCCAGCTGGGGTCTTGCCCCATCTGTCTGTTGCCCAGCACCCACTCCTTCATCCCCCTACCATTTATCTCCTGGCAGGGGACTGCAGCAGAGAGGGTGGGTGGCAGGAGGAAACCTCCCTCCCCAGTCTAGACTGCTCTCAACGAGGAGCCTCCTTGTCCCCCCTCAGCCCCTGCCTGGCCCCACTGCTCCCACCTGCACTGTGTCCTTTTCTCGCCCTGTCTCTGTGCTGCCTCTCCCCGCCTGTACTGGTCAATCCCTGGTTCTCAGCTCAGGGATCAGTGCCCCCTTTTCATTCTCTCACCTCAGCAGCTTCCTAGAGAAATGGCAGATGAGGCTTCAGCACTGGCTGGACAAGGGCGTGGTCTGAACACCAAGACACAGAAGCCTTGGGAAAGAGGGTGGGGTTCACAGGAGACAGAGAAGGGAAGCCCGAGAGTTAGGAGGAAGGTTTGTGGATAGAGAAAGAGCGAGAGCCAGGGGCAGACATGAGGGTGGGGGACACATGGTGTGCTGATGTTCTGGAAAGAGGAAGGGGACTAATTCTGTGCTGCAGCGGAGAAGCAGGGGTAGGGAGGGAGTTGTGGGCTGGAGGAAGAGGTCACTTCAGTCTTGGGTAGAGATAGGAAGACTGGCCAGAGGGTAGAGTGGCAGATACCCTCATTAGGCTGCCGGGCTGTTTCTCTAGTTTCATTTCCCCATGTGCTTTGCTACTGATGCTGGGCTGAAGAAGAGACTTTTGCCGGATAAGAAATATCCAGGCTGAGGGAGGTTTCATGCTGATAAAGTTCTTTCCACCCAACTACAGTCCTCACCATGGAGGAGACGCTTGGCCGAGTGACAGCGTGGGTGATGGGGAGCGCGGGAGCCCGTGTCTGACCCTGTGCATGGTTGGGGCAGAGGCGTCCGCAGGTGCCCAGGGTCTCCGGTGTGGTGTTTCTGGGCAGGGCGCACTGGCCCAGCATGTGGCTCTGCGGAATGCCCCGCGAGCTCCTGGTGGCTGAGGGTGAAGGCTCACGTGGGTGCTTGCATGGGTGTCCCCATGTGTCTGTGTGTGCATGTGGCTGTTTTCCCCCCCACTCCCCCCCGCCCCGGCTTTGATAGGAAAGATGAAGTCAGCATCTTGGATAGAGCTGGGTTCAGCTTCCTTCCTCTGCCTTGGCCCGAAGCCCCAAGAGCATGAAATAGGTAACAGTTTCCCTCAGCTCTCCACGCAGGCCTTGGAAGAAAGCACGTGAAAGGGCAGAGGATCTAAAATAGCATTACCTGGAGAGAGCAGACTTCAGAGACCAAATTTTCTCTGATCCTGCCAGATTCTAGTAATTCTAATGGTCATATCCCACCTCCCCTCCCTTTTTTTGGGTCCTATACCCCATATGTTGGTTTTATTTTATTCATTTATGTTTCAGCTGCACAACTAGGCATGTGGGATCCTAATTCCCCCACCAGGGATCAAACTTGCACCCCCTGTAGTGGAAGCGTGGTGCCTTAACCACGGGACCAAAGTATGGAAGCGTGGTGGAAGCATGGTCACCATAGGTATACTTGGCCTAGAGAGTGGCCAGAAGAGCCTGGAGAGAAAGAAGGACTGAAATGATGGCCTTGGGGTGTTTTGGAAGTCGACTTCTCAGGGGAGACAGGATGCTGGAGTCAGAAAAGGGTGCGAGATTCCAGACATTCACAAGCTCACAAGGCAGTCAAAGAAGCCGAAGCCACTGGAGGCCTGACAGATACAATTTCAGCTTCTGAGATAATCATTATCTAAAATGTGATCCACACCCTGGATTTCAGGCTCCTGGAGGAGCTTGTGTCTTATATACATATGTTTGCCTTTTATCAGAAAAGCACTGGGCCTTGCATAAAGCAGGTGCTTCATAAATGCCTGTCAACACTGAGTTGCCAAAGGTCTGTGAGAGACAGAAGTGGCAAGAGTGTCTGGCAGGGAGCCTCAGAGTGAAGGCAGGGAGTCCAGTGGTCAGAGTGGGGTCGCCTTCACCAAGGTGTCCCAGGTGGTGGACATAAAGGCTGGGGTCTTCTTGAGAACTGTTTGTGTGCTCTGTCCGTTCTCCAAATCCTCACTCTGGGTGTCTTCAGCTCTGGGCCTCCATCCTTGAATGAACCTCCAAGTTCCTGCCCTACCCTCAGGAGGATTAGAGATAAAAGGTATATAGCAAGGAAGGAAAGGAGAAGCCGAGAAGACAAGAGTAAGGGCAATTGAGGGCAAGGGCCTGAAGGATAGAGAGGGAGAGAAGAGGCCAGGGGCTGTGATCCAAAGAAGCAGTCCCAGAGAGGGGAAGATAGAAAACAGTTGTGCCGGGCTTCCGTTTACAAAGCCCTTTCCTACACCGCAGCACTTTGTTAATCCCATTTTATGCTGAGGAAACGGGGGCTCGTAGACATTAACGGACTTGGCCGGGTGACTTTGCTAGTGGTGGTGAAGGTGGGCCTCAGGCCAGGTTTTCAGATTCCAAAGCCTGTATGCCTCCCCCTTCCCCAAGAAGAGCCCTAGAAAGATCGAAGACTTAGGGCAGAAACAAATGAAGGACTTCAGGCAGGACTTGTTGGGGAAGGGTGGGTGCTCTAGATTTCTGAAACTTCTTTCTGCATCCACTTATGATGTAGATTCAGTGGGAAGAAACTGCCAAGTGTAAGTCAGGGGGTCAACACTTCATTACTGAGACTGTGGGGGGGGGGGGGNCGAGGTGGGAGGTGATGAGGAACGTGCAGAAAGAAAACTGATCCTGAGATGAAAGATGGGAGAAAAGTAAGAGGCTGGGCTGAAAAACAGGGCGAGAGAGCCACAAGAGGAAGAGTTTGGACCCTTAAAACTTCCTTTGCCTGGAGACATGGGTGTGGGGAAAAGGGAGGAGGGAGGACATTTCTATCTCGTGACAAAAGAAAGTCACACAATTATTTTGTTCTCTGCTCTAGGGCGGGTGGGCGCCCGTATTTACCAGAGGGACCGGAGTCGCTGTAGCAACCACACATCTGGGCCCCGGAATCCAGATGTGCTGCATCCAGAAGCCATAGCAGAACGATGAGGCAACAGTGTGAGGCTCTCCAGTCCTGGCCCCACAGCTGGGAGAGGACGGAGGACTGGAGTGGGGAGGTGAAGGGAGAAAGGGGGGAGGGGGGCGGAAGGAGGAGGAGAGGGCTGGAGCCGGGGAGAAGAGAGGAAGTTATGGAAGGGGACAAGGAATGTGGACAAAGGAGTGGAAGCAGCCGGGGAGAGGAGAAGACCCAGAAGGGAGCAAACTGTGAAGTGCAGGGGGAGGAAGGGAAAAGTACAAAAACCTCGAGAAACTAGCAGATGAACAAAGGATAAAGAGTGTGAATGAGAAGGTGATAACTTGGGGGTGGGTAGAGGGCAAAGGAAGGCAGGAAACAAGTCTAGAGAAAAGAGAAGAGGGAAAGACAGTGGATGAAAGGTGATTCTGAGGAAGGAAAGTAGCAGAACAGAAAGATACAGAGGGTCTGAGCTGGGAAGGGGTCAACAGGATGCGCAGGAGTGACAGCACGAGGAGGTGGCCTTCAATGGGGCCGCAGCTCGAGATCAGCATGGGCCTGGGGGGAGGCAGCAGACTGACCTTCACCCCCCATGGCACACCCACTCTCCACACCTCTCCAGAGCCTTCCTTCCCACCACCCAGGCCCTTGCCAAGACAGTGAGTCCTGGCTCACACCACAGTGCCAGCTGTCCCCTGCCAACCAGCCAGAGGAGTTGCATGCCTCATCCGAGCCCCCTTCTGAGAAGCACTTTCCTGAGCTGGCGTCAGGAAAGAGAAAAGGCGATGGGACAATTGAAACAGTGATGGACCCAGATGGGATAAAAGTGGAATCGAGGCGAAATGGACCAGGTGAATGGTGAAAGGAGCAGGTGAGAAGAGAAAGGTGTGTCCACTGTGGACCAGGCATCCTGCACATCATCTTTCCTCCCCACATCAACCCGAGGAGCAGGCAGGAAGACCCCATTTTACAGGTAGGCCAACTAAGGCTCAGTGTGTTCAAGTAACCTACCAAAGTGTGAGTCACTTAGTCGCGTCTGACTCTGCGACCACATGGGCTGTAGCCCACCAGGTTCCTCTGTCTATGGGATTTACCCAGCAAGAATACTGGAGTGGGTTGCCATCCCTTCTCCAGGAGATCTTCCAGACCCAGGAATTGAACCCCGGTCTCCTGCACTGCAGGTGTATTCTTTACCATCTGAGCCACCAGGGAAGCCCAAGATACCCACTAATAAAAGGCAAAACAGGAACTCCAATTCAGGTGCTCTGCCCGCAGAATCCTTGTTCTCCTTGCACGCACTGTCTGAATCAGGCTGGGAAGGGCTCCGGGGACCCTGGGACAGGAGTGATGGTAAACGAGCCAGGGCTGCCCTCTGGAGGGAGGAAAGGCCTAGTTCCTGGGGGCCCTAGGTTCCAGGTTGCCATAGTTACTTGGTCTGTTTTCACCCCAAACACAGTAATGGGAAGCAAGGGAGCCTGGCTGAACACGTGAGGTTCTTCCCCCGCTTTCAGGCCTGGGCTTGTGGCCCGGGTGGCCCCTGTCCAGTCATCTGGGCGTGAAGCCCAGGCCCAGCCCACGCCCTCCCGCTGACCCAGGACACTCCCGCAGGGCCGGGTCCAAGGTGCTGCTGGACAGGAGCCCCTGAGGGGAACCCCCCAGGTTGAGGGAGACTTGGGCCCTCATCTGTTGTCCTGTTCTCCTTCCTCCTAATTAGAAAGCACAGCCTTTCCTGCTGGCCCCACAACTGTCCTTTTCTTTCAACTGGACCAAGTCTCAGTTTCCTCCAGTTTGGGGCTAAGGAGATGCTTCTCAGCGCCCCTCTTCCCTCCAAACACTGCCTCCTTCTCCACTGTGGCTCCTCCTTTCTGGGCTCACAGCCCCTGGCCCCAGCTCCATTGTTTTTCAAGCTGCTCCTCCTGGAAAGCTAGGGGGAAGAACCTGCTAGAATGCAGGGGACCCAGGGAGGCCGCCCGCCCGTTCACCCTGAAGGGCGTGGGGCCCCCTGTCCTTCCTGTTTACTCAGACACATTCCAGAATCTGCACTCTTCAGCCTGTCACAGCATAGGACATCCCTCCCCCGCTCCCCCACAGACACCAGACACAACCCTTGCGTGTTGCAGGGCTGGGGAGAAGGGGATGACGTGAGGTCTGTGATCGCACACCCACTCCACCCCAGAGCCAGCCGTGTCCTCAGTGCTCAGCTCTCCGACACACTGGCCCTAGAGCAGCCACGTTCCCCCATATGACCCATCACAAGCCAGGAAGGTAGGCACCATACCTTCAACTCCCTCCAAGTTGTTTATTTAATAATAAAAAAGAAGATATGCCCATACATCCACTTGACCTCCCTCCGCCGTGCATCCTCGACTCCCAGGAACTAGCTTCAAAATGTAAAAACTTCCCTTGTCCCGCCTGGGGACTAAATTCCCACCTCCACCCCCCAAACAGAAACACAAGAATAAAGAGTGTATCGGGGCCCACTCACCCCAAAACTTAACCTCATTCAGCACCCTCAAGGAAAGAAGCAGGGACTGGGGGGCGTTCATAGAAATGAGAGGAGTTCTATATTCCAAAAAAGGGGTGAGAAGAGTGGAAAACTTCCACCCACCTCCAAATAAGTGCTTAACCCCCACACCCTGTCTTCCCTTTACAAATTGCCGCAAGCCCAGGGATCAGGAAAATTCAAAACAGTCCCACTTGGTTGCTCCCACCCCTACCACCCCGTTCTAAGTCAGTGTGAGTCATAGAGGTCAGAGATGATTGAGGTAGAGGGCTGATGGGCGGCCTGGTGGGCCTGGCTGGCTGCTGCAGAAGCTGGCAAGGGGCCACCTGTGGCATTGCCCGGGGTTGAGGACGGCTGTTTTCGGAGTGAGGGGGGCACTGTGGAGGTCTTGATGTGAATCACTCTGGTATCCATGACCTCACACTCGATCTGCATCATCTCCTCATAGTCCCCAGGGGGGCCCCGGCCTGACAGGGTCTCTGTGAGAAGGGGAGAGTTAAGGGAGAGGAGAAGGGGAAGGCGCAAAGGTGGACAGGGAGGAACAGGCAGTGATGGGAAGGCAGATCCAGGGGGTGTTAAATGAGAAGGTAGGGATGGAGTTGGTGCAGGGAGAAGAAAGAAGTGGTGGGGGTGGGGGGTGGAGGTGGATAACGGTGATGAACGTAAGGTTGCAGAGAAGAGGACATCAAGAGAAAAAAAGGGAGTAAGACTCTGGCAGCTTCCCAGCCCTCCCCGCCCACCCTGGCCCACAGCCCTAAGCACCTTCACCTAGGGAGGACCCACGTCTCATCTTCCTCCCATCAGTCTCCTGCACTTTGTTTTTCTTCAACCATTTCTGGCTTCCTCTCACCCATGTATCTAGCATCACTCTGGAATCCCTGATCCTGTCATTTCCCCCCTCAACTCTGCATGCTGGATCTCCCCATGGGAACTTCCTTATTTCTCAATTTCAGGACCCATCCCCAGTTTCTCAATTTCAGGACCCATCCCCACACTGGGCAGGGAAAGAATTACCATTGGGGGCCATGGCAGGCATCACCAGGGACATCTTGGGCCGGGAGGTCTTGTTGTGGCTGATGGCTGGAAGCAGCAAGTGGTCCTGGGGATAGAGAGGCCAGGCCGGGAGGGTGGAGGAAAAGGTGCTGACAGGCTCCCTGGCCCTGCTCTACAGTCTTGAACTGCAGAGAGACTGCTGGGGAACCCAGGGTGAGGGGATGGGGCCCGCAGGAGAAACTCACCCTTCGGAAGGAGACAACATAAAATGTGTCTTCCCGTCGGTCAATTGCATCCAGGAACTCAGGCTGCGAACGGTCTGGTTGGCGATACAGCTGCAGCTGGCCCATGGAATCCCTGACAGGTAGGAAAATGGGATTGGCGAGGAACCAAGCCCAGGGACCAGTTCCCACTAGGGAAGAGGGTGAGAGGGAGACAGGAGACCCCCAGGGGATGTGGGAAGCATAATGCCCTGGGGGCAATGATGACATACACATGACACATGGCTCTTTTAGAATGGAACCTCGCTTAATAAGTAAGTATCCTCTTCAAGACTCACCTTTCTGGGGGCCCAGGGGGTTGGGTGGGGACTGCTTTAACTGGAGGTGACTTCTTCCGCAGCTGAGACTTCTGGAAGGAGAAGTATCTAAGGATTTGAAGAGGATGAAGGGAAAAGGGAAGAGACAGACGGCCCCTACAAACTGACACCACCTCACACCACCCCAAACCACTTACAATCCCTAGGATGTTTAGCCCTTGTTTTCAAGTGGCCTTCCCTGAACCGGCCCCACCCGCTCTTACCTGTTTCTCCTGGGCTCTCTGGGGTGTCTTCCGCCGGCCTCTCTGGTGGCGCTGGACCCAGCCACTCAGCTCGTCGGCAAGCCTGGGGAAGCAGAGGAGGGGGACACCTCCATGCCGGGCCAAGACGCCCACACTTCTGCCCCACACATCGGAGGGAAGGGGAGGGCACGGGGAGCTGGCGCTTCAGCATACAAGATCAGTCACACCATCGGGGAGGGGCCTCGGGACACAGGGAGGACGCCCCAGTCATGAACCCCCCCACCTCAGGGACTCGGTTCGGTTGAAGTGCCGGCAATCCGAGGAGAGGAAGAGCTGGTCCAGGTCTCTCAGCAGCAGCTCCCTGGTGTCCCCAGGGAAGGCTGTCAGGTTCCTGGAGTGAGGCAGAGAGGGGGCATGACCCAGGGTGCCCAATGCTGCCCCGTCAACAGGAAAGGCCACGCTGGCATGAGAACAACTCTGTTGCTGTGTGCGTGCTCAGTCATGTCTGACCCTGTGTGAATCCATTGGCTGTAGCCCTCCAGGCTCCTCTGTCCATGGAGTTTTCCAGGCAAGAATATTGGAGTGGGTTGCCATTTCCTTCTCCAGGGGATCTTTCCCAACCCAGGGATCAAATGCATGTCTCTTGGGTCTCCTGCACTGGGCAGGCGGATTCAACTGGGAAACCTAGCTCTCCCTCAAAAAGGAAAGGTAACTTTAGGGGAGAAGACACACTCACCACCCTTAAAAGAGAGAGGGCCCTCTTCTCACCTGAAACTTGGGCGGCCCGTGGGGCTGGGCTGGGGCTCCTCGGGGTCCTGGAAGGGATGCTGGGGGGGCTCGGCTCCATGAACTGGCTCTTGTGCCGAGAACTCCAGCAAGTGTCTTCTGGGTCGAGACTCCCCTCTGCTCATCCGAGGAGAGATGGAAGCCGGAGGAGGCTCACTGATGCTGTGGACAGAAAAGGATGGAGCGCAAGGAAGAATTCCAGTTTGACTGAGGGCCTGGGTAAGAGGGAGGGCTCTGCAGATAGCCTGCCTGGTTCCAATTTGTGCTACAAGACTGACTCTCTTCATCTGCAAGACGGATTAAGAACAGAGCCAGAAAACACTAGAAAAGGAGAGTGCTTAACCGAGGGCCCAGAACTCAGTAAGCATTTAATATAGTCACTATGTTTATCAATGTTCTCACAACCATCTCCTCTGGGACGTACCATTTATGACAGAAACAATGGAACATAAAGGGACTAGGGACTAGCTGGCTACACTATCAGTGCCAAGGACACCAGAGCTGTCTGTGTGCAAGTAATCAAAGGGACTGTGCCAAAGAGGCAATCAAGCGGCCAACAGGCGGGCTCCACCCAGAAAGTTCTGGGCAGACAAGGAAGGTCTCACCTCACAGGCCCAAAGTTGAAAGCGATGAAGAGAAGGAAGACCATGATGCAGACCACCTTCCTGTTTCCAGACCCTAACTTGAGCTCGCTGTTCTAAGATACAGAGAGACAGAGGCAGGAGAGGGTGAGTCATCCCAGGGAGCCCACATTCCCACTGGTCTCCCCAGGCCTCCCGGGTCTCACCTCAGTCAGCAGGGCCTCCAGCCGCCGGCGGAGGGCAGCATTCTCCCGTCGGAGCTGCTGGTTGTCGGCCAGCACTGCCTGCAGCCGGGCTTCCAGCCCCTGCAGGTACTCTTTCTTCTTCCTGCGGGACTGGCAGGCCGACTCGCGGTTCTTGATCATCCGCTGCTGCCGCTTCAGCAGCTTGGCCTGGGCACCGGAGGGTCAGCGGGAGAGTGAAAGCAGGGTGGGGAAGGGGAAGCATGCCCCCCACCCCAGGGACTGACTACTTGAAATTCACGTGGGCCACTCTCCTGCCTTCTTAACCTCTATCTGCAGAGCCAGAGAGGGGTTCTTCCTCTCTGCTAAAACATTCCAGGGAAGGGGCCTTTCTCTCCACTTCCTACTCCTGTGCCTCAGAGCTGCGAGAAGTCAGACTGTAGGAGGAACTTCCCCATCCAGGTTCTTGGTAGAACCTCAGTTCTTTTCCTTGATGAGTGGTCTCCCTTCTTTGCAATTCTCCTTTTTTAGGACCCAAAGTTTAAGCTTGCTATAGTTAGAGAACAGTTTACCTGGCTTTCCCCAAGGAAGCAGCCTCCCTCTTTTATAACACAGGATGACTCCTCTGGCTTTGATTTACTAAGAGCACTCCCACTTCTCCATCTGCAGGGGCAGCAAACCTGAGGATCCTAAAACTACACAGGGTTGATAAAAGGGATCCACTCTGACCTTGAGGATCACGTTATGGGCCTGCCTGCTCACTGTTTTGCTCCCTTCTCACTCCACAGTTCTCTCCCCTCCCCATTACTAAGCCTTCCTCCTCCTCTCCCCAGTAAATAACTTACATCCACCTCAGGTGGGCAGGAGTTCCCAGGCATAGGGGCTGGAACAATGCTCTTCCTCTCGGGCCGTGGAGTAGGAGGGGTCGGTCCCTCAGGCTGGACTCGAATAGCACCTTGGATGAGGACAACTGGGGACACTGGGGCAAGTGGACAGGAGAGGGAGGTCTGAGAGCTAGAAGTCAGGTGGTTTCCTCTTGTCCACACCCACACCTGAGCACCCAAAGGTCAGGACGCCGGATGGCTGTGAGCTCCCTGAGGAGGTCAGCCCAGGCTGCCTCCTCCTCTCCTTCAGTACCTGGGGGTGGCTGGACAAGGGGCTGCAAGAGGACAGTGGTGCTGGGAGGCACGGCTCTTGGTGGCATTGGGACAGTGGTTATCACCACAGGTTTGGGCTGCAGTGGTGGCTTCCGGGTGGGCAGGGCTTTGCCTGAAGGAAGGTGAAAGGAAAGAAGGAAGGGATGTCAGGACAACAGGCCTCTGGCCAGGGACCTTAGGTGTCAGGAGACTCGTTACCTGAGGAGCCATCAGAGGACAGGCCCATGCTGATCTGGACAGCTCCAGGAGGGGGGCCGGGGACATCCCGCAGGAGACACCCCTGAGGGGATGGGGACTCTGTCTTCACTTCCAGGACCTCCTCTCCTATGAAAGCCTACATGGGGCATTCCAGAAGACATGTGAATCAGGAAGAGTGCTGAGGAGGAGGAGCCGAAGAAGAGAAAGCCCTCACACCTCTGAGAGTCAGGAAGAACTCACCCGTGTGCTGGAGGGAGGAGCAGAGTGCATGCTCACCTGGCCAGGGGACTCCGCAGAGAGCAGGGGAGCCTCCGAGTTGATGGAGGAAGATGGAGAGACAGGCTCTATCTTAATCTGAACATCTGCGGGATGGCAGGATGAGACAGAGAGCTGGGTGTCAGATAAACACTGAAGGAGAAGAGAGCTAAGACGTGGAAATGGGAGACACAGTTACTTCCCCTTGTACCTGGAAGTAAAACTATTTCTGGCTCAGGAGGGGAATCCAGAGGAGGGGGACTGGAGCTGCTAACCTACTGCCTCTCCTCCAAACTTTTTCCTCAGAAAGGACTCCCTTCTCCTTCCCTGGCCCCTCTCAGCTGTTTCCACCACTGCCGTTCCCTCAAGGCTGTCCGTGCGCATCAGCTGTCCCTTTCTTCCTCACACACCTTGTTCATTCACATGGTGGAGGCCCACACAGGGGGATTCCGTTGCATTCTCATGGGCCCAAATTCCTGTCTGGCTGGATTTCCACTTCATCCTGGCCCAACACAATCATGCATCGTCATGCTGACAACTGCCCGGCCTGCATCTCTACCCTTGACTGCTCCCCTGCGCCCGGATTCTGACTCCCAAGCTGCCTGCTGGTCACTTCCATTCTCATGCCCCTCCATTCACCCAAATTCAACTGGCCTTAACACAGGGCTGTTTGTCCCTTTCTACAGATCGCCTTCCTACCATCAGCCTTCAAAGCTCGGTCACCTCTGAGCCTTCACAACCTCTGTTAAATCTATCGGTAAGACTTGTTGATTGCCCCATGGAAGTAACCCTAGCTGAAGGCCAGATTCAGCCCCAAGGTCAATGGTCCACTACTACCTCTGGTTCATAGCTTGGATTTTGATACTTAATTATATGATTACCAGTATTGCTATTTTAAAATCTCAAGTCTATTTCAATAGGTAATACAGTCATATAAGATCCCAAAGGAACAAAGGGAAATTCAGTGAGAAGTTAATCTCCTTTCTGTCCTTGTCCACCAGCCATCCAGAACCTCTCCACAGAGGTGACCACTCTCTGAGCTATTTAACCATGCATTAACCCTCATGAGATTCTCCAAGAGCAAGGACTAGGTCTTGTGCTTCATGTCTATCAAAGGAATGGGTAAAGTGCATGGGTGCCTGCGTGATAAGTCATTTCAGTCATGTCAGACTCTTTGTGACCCCATGGATTATAGCCCTCCAGGCTCCTCTGTCCATGGGATTCTCTAGGCAAGAATACTGGAGTGGGTGGCCATGCCCTCCTCCAGGGGATCTTCCTGACCCAAGGATTGAACCCACATCTCTTATGTCTCCTGCATTTGGCATGCAGGTTCTTTACCACTAGTGCTACCTGGGAAGCCCAGGTAAAGTACAGGCCCTCAAAAAATACCTTTATATTAGGGGAGAATCTGACTCCAAGAACACTATCCTTTGCAAAATCATCAACAATCTTTTCACTGGTATAGACTTTTCAATCCTATTTTGTTTCTCCTCTTTGTAATACTTAATCATATGCTGGATATGAGCTGTTTGTCCGTCCAAATCCCTCCCCACCCTCCCCTGCCCTGCTCTGAGGCCCAGGAGGAAAACATGAGTGGCTCTCTTGTCTTCAAGCTTCTGGCTGAACTTCAACCAAGGGGAGGTAGTGCTAAGAAATCCTGAAGTCACCTTGAAAGCAACAATCAACAAGTCCCACACTGAATTCATTATGCTCCCTGCCAGGAGGCTCCTGCTCCTGCAGTCACTATCCAGTGATTGGTACCCTCACCCACAGGGTGGCTGCCTTCATCAGAAACCCAGGCACGTTCTTTCACCCCTACTCATCTTCAGTGCCCAGGAGGTCACTGCACTCATTCATTCTAATTCACTCTTTCTCAAATTTGCCCTCTTCTCAGCATCTGAGTGTCTTACCTGACTAACTGCATGGACCTCTTTCTTGGTCCTTCTTTTGCCTCTGGTCCTGAGTTTCTGCAGTCCAGTGTCTACTTTGCCACCAGAGTCATCTTCCTAATCACACTGTTCTCCTGTCTGACTCTTCAAAGGCCCAGAACTGCCCACAGGAAAAAAGCTAAGAGTCCCTAAGCAGGATTCTTACCTGGCCTTGAAAGCCTCTGAATCTCCTGGCCCTTCCCTACTCCCACTCCTTACATCCACTCAAAAGAGATGCAGGTTCCTTATAAACACACTAGTCCCTACAGTCTTCTTCTGGCTAATTTCAATCTATCTTTCAAAACTCAGCTCAGGAAACCCCTCCTCCATGAGTACATTCTTGATCTATCCCCAAATGGGTGAGATGCCCCCTCTTATGAGCTTTCATGGCACCCTGTGATAATCTCTACCCTAGAATTACCATACTTTGTCTTTCTCCCCCACCATAGTATGGGATCCTTGAGTCAGTGAGGTGGTAAGACTTCATCTTTGCAGCTCCAGCACCCTGTCCAGTATCTGGCATGGAGTAGGTGCTCAATAAATCTTGCTGAATAAACATGCAAGAGTAATAAACTCAGTAACATGCCTAAAAACAGCACAAATAATGTTACTTGTAGAATGCAGGAGCAGGTATGTGGTATTCCAACTTTTCTGTATGCTTGAAAATTATTTTTTTATAATAAAACCTTTGGAGGGAAAGTCACATACATAAATATGCCCTAAACTTTCTGCAAGTTTTTAAATATGAAAAGTAACAGAAACAAGAAAAGAAAGAAAAATTATTCCCATCTCTTCAGTGCTGCTCTTACTGTGATTTCCTGAAATCCTCCCTCCTGCTCCTGGCCTCCCTCCTGGTTATCGGCCATCTCCCCTCCCCACCTTCTCCTTGTCCTGCTGACTGCACTCCCTCTTCACTCACACACTCACACACACACACGCTCTCTATCTTGGTAAAGCCTGGGGATGATGCAGGCTATTACTACCTGAAGGATCATCAGAGGTGGGGCTGACATTGATCTGGATGGTTTCAAATGGGGATGTTGGATCATCTCCCAGGAGGCAGAGTGGGGGTGCCAAGGACTCTGATTTCACAACCAGCATCTCCCCTACACCAGGGGCCTGGGTAAGAGTGAGGGTGAAGCAGGGGGGACAGAAACAAGAAAGAAAACAAAAAGGACGTGTTGAGAGTAAAAGCCAGAACAGAAGCCTTAGAGCTTACAAACCACCAGTTACTTGACATTCTCATTTGAATGGTAGTCAGCATCTTGCTAAGCTGTGTCTGGCCCCTTGTTCTCTATTTTATTCCTAGGAAGGTGGATAAAGTCTCATGATTTCAAATATTGCAGTGGACAACCGGGACAAGAACAGTTCCACAATTCTCAGCAGTTAACAACTCTCTTCTTCCCTGTCCCCCTACCCTGCAATGGCCGCCACATTTCTCTATATATTAAAAAATTCCATCTTTGACTCTAGACAATCGAGTGGAAATGTAAAAAAAGAAAAAAAAAAAAAAAGGCAAAAGGAAAAAAAAAACCCCCCCCTCCACCCCAAGACCTGCAGCCCACAAATCATTCCCTTAGCATCAGAAGATGAAGGCAAGGGAACGAGTCCCTGCCACAGAGAGTAGGAAGAAGATGACTGTCTCACCTGGCTGGAGGGCTCTGTGGAAAGATGCGATGATTCAGAGCTGAGGGAGGAGGAAGAGCAGGGGGAGGATGGCTCAGACTTCACCTGGAGATCTGGAGGAAAAGGGGCTAGAAAATAACCACGAAGCGGAGTCTGACAAGAGCCCAAAAAGCGCCCGAGGACATGGGGTAAAAATCCCTCACTGGGCAAAGGAGAAGGAGCACATTTCAGGGGTCAAAGGAGGAGAAGAGTACACAGGCACTCAGGTGGAGGAAGCTTGAGGATAAGAGGAACTGCACAGTTTCTGGGAAACAGTGGAAAGATGGGGGTTTCTGAAAGGATGAGGGAATCACAAAGGGTATCTTACCTGGGAAGATAGGAAGAGAGTCCCAGGGGGGTTCAGGAGGGCTGACGTCCATCCCCAAGTCCAGGGAGCTGCTGCCAAACTGAACAAGGAGGCCGGGTATTAGAAGGCAGAAGTGTGAGGATGAAGGGGTGCTTCCAGCTGAGCGCTGGCTTGGGAATGAGTCCCGGTTCTGGGACCACTCCCACCCACCAACGGTGAGAGACAAGGCTCGGGGAGCGATACCGGGACATCCTGCTCAGGACAACGGAAGAGCTGCGTCTGCTCCTCGGCCACTTCATCCAAACCGGCGTACAAAGTGCTGTCTGCAAGAGGTGCGGAGGGTCGGGGATCGTTCGGTAGCGCAAACTTCAGATCCTCACAGAGCCCTCGCCCCATCCCTCATTGGCTCAGCTCGGCCAGACCCACCGCCCGCCCACTTGAAAAGTGATATAGCTAGAGAACTTCAGTCCCTCCTCCCCCAATCCCAGAACAATTCCACATTTCCGCGGGAGCGGAGGTTTTCCCCGACTCCCGCATCCCCCAAAGCTCAACTAGCCCCCCTGTTCCGCCCTTCTTTAGACGATCGATTCTGTATTTGCCGTCTTCCTCTTCGAGCCCCCGCTTCCTCCAACGTGCCTCAGGGGCACGGCAGGCCACAGCCCTATCCCTTCCCCGAGGCGCCTCACTCCGCGCACCCCAGTCCTCCGAGCTCAGCAAGTTGTCGGTGAAAAAGCGTGTCGGGTCCGCAATCTCGCTGAGGAGCATCAGCTCCGCCATCTTTCCCCCCGCCCCCCAACCATGAGACGGTCCCCAAGGCCCGCCTCTTCCCCATCATCAACGAATCAATTGACTCTTAAAAAAAAGGGAAGGGGCGTCCCGGAAGCCCTACCGACCAGTAAGAGGCCTGGGTACTGAGCACATGCGTCAATAGAAGCGACGGTGTACAGGCTGGGCCAATGGGAGCGCAGCAGGACGCTAACGCTTCCACAGTACTGGACTGTCAGGTTTGCGCATGCGCCAAACAAACTGAAAGCGCCTAGAAAGTGTGGCTTTCAGGCTTTGGAGTTCCGCCCTCTGCCCCAGCCATTCCTAAATTTAGAAGTTTAGCTCATCGATTCATCTTCGGAGATGGGCAAGCCCCCCCCCAAAACAGCACACGTGATTATATAGCTTTTTAATGGTAAAAAGGGACGCTGATACCACAGCTACCTCCCTTAGGAAGGCAGAAGCTTGGAGTGGGATATGGTGCAACTCTCCCTTGATCCCCACCAAATCTCACAGCATAGACCACACTTCACAGGTTCCTGTCTCTTTAAGGTTTAACTTTTAATCAGCCAAACATCTTGCGCAGTCCTTGAGCCAGCCCTGCATCCTGTTTCTTCCCCTGAATGATCACCTTTCCCAGCTCCTCCTGGGCTGCCCGGTTTTTGGGGTCTACGGCCAACACCTTCTTGAGGTCAGTCATTGCTTTTTCCAGGTTTCCAAGAGCAGCCTGGGCAACGCCCCTTCGGTACAACGCCTTTATGTGGCCAGGCTCCCGCTCCAGCACCCGGTCACAACTTTGGGCCGCCAATTGGGGCTGCCCTAGCAGCAACTGACAGGCAGCCAGGTTGGCGTGAAGGACAGTTCGTTCCGGAGGGCCAGGTGGGGGTAAGGTCAGCAGCAGCCGAAGAGCCCGTGCATAGCATCGGGCAGCTCCTTCCGGATTCCCCGCTCGAAATAATTCTGTGCCCCTTGCACGTTCTTCTCTGGCCAAGGCCTCCTTCTCGGTGTCCTCCAGCTCCCAGGAGTCTCGACCCTGAGTGAAGGAGGCCAGTGTGAGCCTGACAGGAAGTCCAGAGCGCCCAGGGAGCTGAAGCTCTGCCTCCTCGCCTTGACACATGGACTCCAAGCATTTCTCTATGATCTCCCCCCAAGTTTCCTCCCTCCATGGGCCTAACCCCACAGTTAGCTCTGTCCAGCCCTCTGGCAGCCCTAACCCCAAAGGAAATCCAGAAGCTTGTACCCTGCAGCGGGAGCCCAGCTTGGGTTTGTCCAAGCCGTGGCCACGGACTACGATCTTCTTGACAAAGCTGCCATCAGGACAGTACCAGAGATCAGAAGCTTGAAGGGGCTCTGACATCGCACTGGCTGATCCATGAGACTTAGCAGAGTCTCTTTCAAGTTCAGCGGCCAGTTTTTCAGTTTGCTGAGGATTCTCTAGAATTTGGCTAGCTGGATCTGGGCTCACTCTCAGTTCAAGGATTTCCGTAGGAGAGTCTCGCGGATGCTGCCTAATCTGAGTAGGTAATTTAAGGTTCTTTTCCCCTTGTTGTTGCGGTTGACAGCTGTCCTTCTCTCCCATTGAATTGACTGGTGGTGTATCCATTTGGTGGCCCCTTCCAAAACAGTTTTGGATAGAAAGGGATGGACCGAGTCCAGGTCAGCACCTGATTTAAAAAAATCAAAGCAATGCTATTGGCAGACATTTTATTTAGACTCCTTTTCCGTCCTTTTGGGACCCCGAACCGCGGTCCTCAAAGTCCTCTTCCCCCCCCCCCCCCCCCCCCC